TTGCCTAAGTAATATTATTCTAACATAAATAAAACGTCTCTTACCTTCCTGGTTGAAAATCTTTCGTTTTTAAGAGGTTTTACGCCATTTTTGATATGCCATTGTTTAACCTACTTATATTAATACAAGGTCGGAAACTGCACGCAAAGATTTCCACAAGTAACTGTACTTGCACTCGATTTTTTTGTCAAAATCCAGGCTTTTGTCCACATTTAACTGCTCCACAATAAACATGAATGTCCAAGGATTCTTTTGAAGCTCTTCGTCAATGAATTGCTTTTCGGGAAGTTATTTTTATCGGCCGTTGAATTCTAATATTCGGAATAAAGTAATGCTGACTATAACTAATTTGGTCCGGAGGCACAGGGGTCCATTGTACCCTCCCCCGCCTCGTCTCGCAATTGTTGAGCAATGTCCCCCGTAGATTTAAAGTSTTTATTGCCTTTTGTTAGAAATCAGCCAATCCAATTTGAGAATACTCTCTTCTTTTGGGACCCCTGTGCCTCCGGACCAAATTAGTTATAGTCAGCATTACTTTAGTCCGAATATTAGAATTCAACGGCCGATAAAAATYACTTCCCGAAAAGCAATTCATTGACGAAGAGCTTCAAAAGAATCCTTGGACATTCATGTTTATTGTGGAGCAGTTAAATGTGGACAAAAGCCTGGATTTTGACAAAAAAATCGAGTGCAAGTACAGTTACTTGTGGAAATCTTTGCGTGCAGTTTCCGACCTTGTATTAATATAAGTAGGTTAAACAATGGCATATCAAAAATGGCGTAAAACCTCTTAAAAACGAAAGATTTTCAACCAGGAAGGTAAAAGACGTTTTATTTATGTTAGAATAATATTATTTAGGAAAAAAAAAACAACAAAAAACAAAAAACAAAAAACAAATTGTGCGAACGACATATTTTATACTAAGTTATTGATCCTGGGTTACCTGTGGGCAGAGCTCGCTGTAAAGTTTCTGAGAAATTCACTGAACTTTTAAAAAATGAACACCGCTCCAAGCAACTCGAACTCGGCAAAGGTGTTTTATACAAATTTTTCAAATTTCCGAACAATTTTGTAACAATAACACTAATAGCACTTTTTAGCAGGTAATGTCATAATTTTTTCGTGCTTTCTTTTGTTTTTGTTAAGGTCTTTGCGCATGAGAGACTGTTGTCAACTAAGGCAGCGGTTGCTCGCTGTGAACGGGCGCGGCATTTAGTTTAATTATGGAATAATTTTCACAAAATGGTAAAAATAAAAATCAGAATTTCACTTACCCTGTGCTGCTCTGTCTCGCAGCGTTACACACTGTATCATGATAGGGTGAGGTTGTCTTGATAGTTATCCCATAATAATGGTACCTGTTCGGTATAATCGTTAGTATGCTTCGTCGACCAGAAGAGAACAATCTTTGTTTATACTAATCTAATCGTGTTGGTAAAACAGGTAGTGAGGGTGTTTCTCGACGCCTTTGATCATCCGAGACTTTCATATATAGCTGACACCATTATTCACTTTTATTGGGTGGTCATCCCTCCATGGCTGTGTGCAATTGTCTGAACTCTACACTCATGATTCTAATCTCTGGATATTGCAAAAATGTATTTTTTTTTTTCCAAATTTTTAATACCTTGTTCCGTATGAAATATTTAAAATTCATTTTCTAATTAATTTAGTAATGCAAGTCTTTTGATCTTGCCATTTTTCTGATCTTGTAGTCGTAAACCTGAAGACTAGTACCCAATCTATCTCCATATTAGTTCCATTGTTGTCCGCAGTATTACAGTGGTACTTCACGAAAGTTCAAACTCGTTACTGTTGCCATTCCATTTTTTTGCAATAAAATTCGGTTCTCGTCCAAAGAAATGCGTTTTCGAGGTAATTTTATACACAAAGAGAAGTTAACTAATTTTTCACCGTCAAACACCATTGTTAAGACTTTGACGTAACTTATTTAGCGCAAGAAATACTTTCCAATAAAAAGGTTGCTAAATATCACATTAAATTTGACCAAATACGCGGATTTTTCGACATAAGAATCACGTTAAGATCATCACGTTAAGATCAAAATCAAAACCTTTTTTCATAGGAAAACAATTGGTATTCTACACTAACGAGGCTAATAACGTTGATATTGCACAGTACCACATGGATATGTACCATGTCTAGGATTCAATACTGCCACCCGCCGTGGACATTGAAAACTGTCAACCACTAAAACATCACTTCTGTCAAGATAAAAACAGTCAATTTCTTGGATATACTTTTGAAATAATGACTCTTTGACACTTTAGTGGGTCTTCTCTGTTTGAGTTATTAACTTTGCTTGTATCTCGTCGTAGCAACGCCCTCTGAACCGATATTCTATTCAATGATGTAATTTAAAGCGATAAATCAAACTATACCTAAATCTTGTCACTATTGAGTATTTCCCTATGAGACCTCATTCGAATGGATGACTATTTTCCCCTTAAAATAGTGGTAGTTATACACCAGGCATATGTAGCATGTGTTGTATGGTCGGGGGACTGGAGTCATTGGTCAAACGTGATTCATGACTGGGTCAGTACCAGTGAGTTTCCTGTGATTTAAGTGATTAGGGTGATATTGACTTTGAGAAAATTTGAAACTCAACTACGGCTCTTGGGCCRGTTGACAGGGCGTCACTTAGAATTGTCCTGAGAAAATCTCGATTTTTTGGAAAGAGAATAGTGGCTTATTTCGATTTCAATCTCAAAATACGAAGTAACTATTTTAAGGTGTGAATACTGCTATGGTGCAGGTGAATTAAAGTAACGAKAAAGTCTAGTTCTACTTTATATACTTTACACTCTGCACCCCTTCCCTCCATAGAATTTTTTTTAGCCATTGAACCTAGTCGGTAAACATCTTCCCCAAGGTTTAAGGTCAAAATGTCTTCCATTCAAGGTCAAACATGAATAGGCTAAGTATTTTACCATAAAAGTACTTCAAACTTACTTCGATTGCCCTCGAGTACCAAGCCTTCTTGTCTTGAGATGTGGGAAAGTGTGACGAATAATCTAGAATTAAAAAAGAAGCTCTCTTACTGTCTATTCAAATGATGGATTTTTGTMAGAATGGAGATTTCCTGTACTGTGTCTGATGTACTACACACCTGATTCCAGTCATGAAGTTTTACAAGGTCACTAACTTTATTGATATTGACAATCGAAATTCGCAATTAATCGTACTAATAGCGCAACTGACTTTTTCAAGATTTAAAATGTGTTATATGGATGGCAAAAGACAAAGAGGGGAGGGGATTCCGTGGTTTCCGTGATTCTATGTAATACAGGAAGCCAAAACTGAGAAAGAATGACCAAACGGAAGTGGCAGGTAGCTGTATGGTTCAATGCACGGACCCTCAAGCAATACGGGACACGTGCAAATCATACTTAAACGTCAATTTGGTCGTTTTAAACTCAATTCAAACTTTAAGTGTGGAGTTCAGCAACAACATCGGTCAGTCATGAAACCAAAATTAGTAAGACACTGCGAAGGGCAGGAAGTCGTAGTATTGTTATAGTCAGGTGTATACACTGTGTTCGGAAAACTTTGGCACTCGTAAAGCACACAAACTAGTGACTAAGAGGGTCATGGATAGTATCTGAATGTAAATTTTGTATCTTTCTCTACAACGAAGCTATAACACAACAGCAAACCTAACCCTAATCCATCGTTTTTCCATCAAATATAATTTCTTGCGCGAGTGTGATTCTTATGTCACCCATAACCCCTTGCACCACTAGCTTTTTGTCTTGTAGGTTCACAGGTGAGCGAGAAAGTTTCCCGAGGTTTTCGCGTGGAGTATTTGCTGGTCGTCGTCCGTGTTGTGTGATATCTCTGCAGAGATTTCTAACGTTTGTTGATAGTCAGTGTCGGAAAGTTGTAAATGTCTTTCGTTGTTTTATATCAGTAGATGTGTGTGTTGTTTTGGTTGCTGTGTGATAAACAGCTGTCATTATAAGCGAAGTATTACCTTGCCAAAACTTGCGGCATTCACAGGTGTTAAGCTGTTCTTTTCACAAAAATCAAGGTAGTGGGAGTAGAGTGCACTTCTTGGTAGACTCACACCCTCCGCTACTTCATAGTTCTCGTTCAACCTGAAAAATGACAACATAAACTTAAAAATCATTATGTTTTTCTTGTTTTTGTATTGTTGCTTTGTTTGTAGCGAAATTCTGTAAAATAGCAATGCTTCTGTTCTGAAAAGCGTCAGCTTGTTYTTGCAAAAGAAATCTTCAGTTGCCAATTTTTTTGAGGAATAATTCTGTTTGGGAACAACGTTAATAAATAGTCTACAAGATTTTTAATGGTTAGAAATCTATTATTTTCCACTTTATACTAACTGAAAAATGATGAGATATGCCGAGACAAAGGAATCGTCTGTAAAACAAATTTGAAATATAACGAACTTCAGAGAGTGTGAAAAAAAATGCTTTTCCGATGTGATAGTATAAAAAGGTAATTAATCTAATTTTATGGAAGGAAATAATATTTATTAATSTTCGACTTTTCATTACCAGAATATAATTGATTTGCAAAATATCCAGAAATTGTCCTAGCATTAGAGAAATCATTGTTTTTCTTTCAAATCGAAATGAATTGTGTCATTTCAACCTTGTGTCTTTCACAGACAACCTATAKCWTCGGATTACAAACGAGACTGAAGAATTRATAAAGTGGAAGACAAGATAGAAACGTGAATTCTAGTTCGTCATTACATCAAATCCAATCAAAGTGGCAGCTATAGATATTCAATTCAAGTGASATTATGGTCTTAACGCTTTTGCCTCCTTGACGTTTTTATATTGTTTTGAATGTGAAGTTTCAAGCGATGCTTATCTGAAATTATTTTGTGAAAGRTTTTGTGTGTGTTCATATATAGAAATTGCTCTTTTTCAATTCGAGGAAAAGTAGGTTTCTTTCTTTATGCGCCAAAAACTAACTGAAGTTTACTTACCATTGAATTGTTAACGGGGATTGGAGTTTACTGTGAGATACATAGGAACTTCCCGAGTGATACATCGCCGGCTGCCCTGCAACATTACCAAAATCAAATGTTCGTTTTTTCCCACAGCTCTATATCATGTGTATACATTAACAACAACCAAGAACAAAAGTGCATCGTAAAATCTTTTGAAGACAAATTGACCACCAGTTACTAACTTAGAAGAACATTATTTGKAAATATTCATCAGGGCCTTGGCTCATTGTAGTTTGTTAGTATGTTTTGACGTTGACGACCAATCATATGTTCAAAATGATCTGTGCCCATACTTCATATAAGTTGACATACTGGTTTCAAACTTGACGGTCGAAGTTTGAGTCTCAATTGGATTAATTTGCGTCTGTTAGCTTTACGGTTTGGTATTAATTGTGGATGTGAAAGAGATGGAATGTCTTCCTTTTTCAGTTTATAGTCTAGATTGAACTGTTTAAACTATTTTAAAACTTTYAAAACTCTTTATGTTATCTCATGAACGATATATTTTGATAAGCTTTTCTCTATTTATATCGAAAAAGAGGGAATCATAAAAAAAAACTCAGTAAACCTTACAAATTATTGTGCTGACTTACCAACAACTAAATATACCATGTCGAAAAAAAAAATATTTCCAGCAACCGAATTTCTTTTACCAGATCAATATTCCAGATTTGTTCAGCGGCATTGATAAATGTGCTTTCCGTGCCTTCAAAGAAGTTCTGTCCTGGAGAATTGAGCCGTTTTGTTTTGCAACTCTTCGAAGTACATATTAAAACACATGGAACTGCCAATTTTCAATGAGTTCGAAGTTTTTGAATTGTTTCGTGTTGGTTTCGCTCTGGTGAGCACCAATCAGATCGCTCGAGCTAATTAATGGCACGCGCTTTCATTCGCAAGAAGTGTGGCAAATTTACATTTGTAAGGGATCCCGTTGTGAGACGTCACTTTCGGATTTTTGTTTTTGTTTTTGTAAACTTCTCATAGAGCAAGACATTGAAATTGTTTTCTAAAAGAGGTTTTTAAATTTACTGTTTAGAAAGTTTTTCTTTGGAAGAAAACCGCAGTGATTTATACTGACTTTTTATAAATTCTTTACATGGGTTTGTTTTACTGAAACCCTAGTAAATATGTAAACTTTGTTGTTGCACTATAAGAGTTTGCTGTTTTCAATCCTAGATAAACAAGAGCTTTATTCTAAACTCATTTTCACATGTTTTTTGACTGATTACTGTYCCTCATAAAAATGAAAAMTTTGGAAAAGTTTGAGCTTTGAAAATTCGTTTTACTCAAATTTCCGCAGAACTTGCAATTGGAGATTTTGCATTGCTAATAAACCCTTTTATTGTTAAATAATTATTTTCAGTAATTTGTGAAATTTTAAAAAAACAACCGTTTTTTTGTTTTGCTTTGTTGTTTTTCAGCACGAAATTTGAACATTTGTAAACTCAAAGATTTCATTGCTAAGAAACACTTACTAATAAGATATGTCTAAACATGACATATTATATCAAGGGAAAATATTAAATTCTCGCAAAGAAATAAAAAGTTTATCATTTTGATAAAGCCATTGTCAAAACTACCTCATTGAGCATGGAAAATGATTATTTTTGGGAGAGAAAAAAGTTGAAAAAGAAACTGTCGCCTTGTGTACGTCAAAAATTACTAGTATTTGTCCAACTGATCGATTAACATATTAAGTACCTTTTTAACTTCGTCCACGTGGTAAATGTCCACTCCGTGCTCTTTTAAGGGCTAAAAGTTTCAAGAAACAGACCAGAGCAGCTAGRGAGATCGATTTAATGCTCTTGTTAGACGCTACACAGTTAATGTTTTAACCATCATTAGTGCGAAACTGATTGTCGAAGAACTTAGTCTTAGCAGGGAGCCGAAAAACCTATGATTCGGAAGGGAGTTTGCAGCTCTCCAAGATTACGAACTTTGATGGATAATAGTAAGCATTGTTGGAGCCTAGCGTGGCTCGGGCGCGTGTATTTTTTATTGTCATCAAACTTAATTACTGAATGGGGCCTAGATACATACTCTTATAGTATGGCACGCGCGTTCACTCGGTCAACACATTTAGCCACGTGCCACTATCCATTGTCATTTTCTATTATATTGTTAGTAGTAACGGCTCAAAACCTACAGTCTTTGGGAGCAAAGATTGCCTCTTTAATAAGTCTAACGGCGTGAAATAGTTCATTTCTTTTATAAACTCACCGAAGTTGTCAAAGGTGTATATGCTCTTYATTGCTACTCTGATGTCAGTTGATAAATTACTCGGAGTTGGACAGCTTAGGTGATTAATTTAATCAAGGAAAGTAGTAAACTAGACCTTTCTCAAGAGAGACTTTGTTTAAGGGCACAATGTAGTACCCGTCATGAAGAAAGAAAAATGTCTGGGATGCAATGAAGGGCGTAAAGMTTTTCATGAATAAATCGCTTGGAAACGGACATTGTTCATTTACGGAGGTGCCATCGTCTCATGATACATGCTTAGCTCATACAGGACAACAAAATCTTTAAAATTGTACAAATGTATGAATTTTGCACGCCCATAGATCTTGTAAAATCATCTTAGGTTATTTTACAACGTATTTTATCCAGTTTGGACGTTTGCAAACATTTCAGCTACAACGTTTTTTGTCTTCTCAGCGCTAGTATTTWTCTTTTCCAGACTGGATATTTTTAAAGTAAGTAGCTCAAAGTGAAATTGTTTTCAGTTTTGTTATTAACATATGAATAAATCAATGGTTTGATTTGTTTAAAATGGTGATAGTTCTGGCTCCTATTGTATCGCAACATGGCTAGCCGAATGGGCTACTACAGACAGTCCACACGTGTCTTATATGCGATACGAATCTTGCAGGGCGTTTCAGGCTCCCAAATCAAATAATATCTMCACCGTTTAAGATTCATTGATATACCCTATATTATTCATAATACCCTCGTTCAAACCAATAAAGTATTGCGGTGCTAAGCGACCTCGGGACTAATTACCACATTTATTTGAATAATCCATCATTTTGACTTCTTCTTTTTAAAAACACTCTTGTATTCGTGGCAAAGTTCGAGTCGCTACTACTTACGATCATAAACGCGAAATAATGCATAAGTAGTTTTGAAATGATCGCGTAAATAGTTGTTTGAACGTTGAGGTTATTTTGGGAAGGTTGTTTGTGAGTCAACAGTACTGGGATCATTCTGCACGTATCATTCCCAAAAGGCTACTGTTTGAACCACGTACGAATGGTAATACCACACGCGAATTAAAACCTTTGTTTTGAACGTTATGACTAAAGATTTTTTTAAGAAAAGGGAAATTAATGCCGCTTAATTAACATAAACTATGAAAACCAAATTTCGACAGGAAAAAAAGAGGTTTTTGTTTCAAAGTTACACGTTTTTAACTAGTGTCAAAATTGWTGATTTTGGCTGACGGATCGCGCTTCAAGTTCATCGAACRAAACAAAGGRCCTTAAAAGCAAATTAACATGGACGATTGGACACAATCCTTTAAAGCTTAAYCATCAAAAGGTCATTTACTTAGTTGAACTCCTGGAAAGTTTAAAAAAGATAACWAAGACWAGAACAAGACTTAACAACAATCRTTTAACAACAATCCTTTGAGAATTCCTTGCTGTCGTGTGCTTTCCAAATGTTGCAATTTTACCTTTTTTTCAAAGTCGATAACTTTAGCGTGCAAAAAAGCACACATAAATTATATTGTCAAAACTCGTTGCAAATAGAGCAGGAAAACTTTYCATGAATACGTAGTTGTTTATATAATTTGATATGCAAGATCTCCGTGAGTTATTTAAGGTAAAGTTGAAACGTGATTAAATCAAAAAGGGGGAAACTCCACAAACGTGCCGACTCTGGCTTTACTTCTTGAAAAAAGAAATAATTCGATCGCATGTTTTTATGATTGAATAAGTACATTTACACTGTATATAAAATACACCGTTCGTAAGCAAAAATCCATGGAATGACTGAAAGGTATTTCATTTGCTGATATTTCTATGCAACCGGTTTTCTGACAAAGTAAAAGTGTTCTTCGGTTGCCCGAAGAGACATATAATGGAACGAACAAGTTTAACAAATAACACGAAAACTGGATCTTTTACTTACCTGGTTGTAAACAAGTTTGTGGAAACTATATGGCTCGGATTTCTTGGTTATTTTTTTGACCAATGGTGCGTTACGAGGGTGATGTCTTCAAATGACCAAGACAAAAATGATCGTTTCTTTTATTCGTCATGCGAAAACTCGTCTATGTAATCAAATTATGCAGTTCAATTTTCAGTTGCCGTGGAGTTTTAAAGTTTCTCAATGGTAGGCTGTTATCTTGAGGACCTGTCAATCTCCACCTTTGATTGACACCTTTGAGAGGCTTGCTCAATAGCTCACACGATCGAAGTCCTTTTGTTGTGAACCACCGCTAGAACGTCCACCCTTGATTGATCTAATGAATGCCACAGAGAAAATACAAATATCCATGGGGATAACTCATCAAAGCTGATTTGAATATCAGACTCATTCATAGTAATCTATTCAATTACCCTTGCCATTGACTCGCATACAAGTGCCCAGAGGGTTTCAACAAATCATTTTGGGACGCCGTGTTTCGCTGTGGTCAGGAGATTTTCAAACGGCTTTTGTTTTTTGCCATATGGCAGTGTTTAACTGTCGAAAATTACCACTCTTCGTCACTCCAAGACTTTTTCGCGCGCGACTTGAACGAGGTATAATCATCACACATTTTTTGAAGTAGCAAAGCAATGTAGGCGGAATTGCGGTTGTCCTTAGTTAAGTTTCAATCGATCCTTTTGAAATTTGTTAAGTTCAAAACAAATAAAATTACCACAAGGAAGCAAAATTCAAAAACAGCAAAAGAGAATTAACCCGGTTTCATTTTCATCTCCAATTTGAAAATTCCTAATGACATCGCGCATGCGCATTGTTCTATGCGTTGTGTTTTTGACGTTTTTGGCATGTGTTACAGGGCCAAATGCTGCTTTTATTCTCTCAGTGCTCATAAGGGAGAGTTCTAGCGGCTGGGATGCTTCTCAGAGGTAGTTTTGGCCGAAGACGAGCTGACCGCCTATCGTGTTTTGTGGCGGTAGATTTAGCCGTGGGGCTTTAGTGCTTGACCGTGATATCTCGCCGATTAGCTCAATGATTGATTTGGTGTCACATGGTTTCAATGAAGTTTGAGGTTTCTTAGGTGAAAACCATGGCTATAGTAAATTCCCCCAAAACATGCACCCATATAAGAACGAACAATAGAGGACCTGTTAATATCTCTTTTCCTGTGTATTCCTAGAATCTCACCACCAGCGGAAAACCATAGCACACGAGACCTTTCCGTAACCTTTTCGTTATGGTATAATACTTCAGAATGAACTCACGAGAAAGACTCACTGCTGAGAAAGCTCTCAAAGATTAAACAAACATTGTCTAACTATTATCATCGATGGTTTGCTGGTTTAAGCCGAGTTCAAGCGACCGATTTGATTGAAATTTCCGACAAATGTTCTTTTAGATTCGCTCAGTTTTGAAATCAGGTCTTCAAATGAGATTTAGTGTGATGTGGAGATTTCATTCAGGCTCTAAACAAGCTCGTTCTGTTTCTAGGTGCAACACGTGGGGCTCTACAACCCCTATTGTCGTTTTCTTAAATCTAATCCATCTTTGTGACTGAAGCACAAACACTTTCCGTAAACTTTCACTGGGAATTCTTCTCGCCCTAAGGGAACTCGACTGTTGGATGTTTGGTTGGTATTTTGTTTAGTGGGCGATTATAAACTGGTCAAGTTTTAATCATAAAGCAAAGGCGTCATTAACGTAAATCTCGAAGTTTTGGGAAAAAAACAGTAATTAGATTGGCAAACTGTTTGAGATTAATTAAAAGATATCATTATAAGTCAACTAACAGCTCTATTTTTTTAATATCACTGGCTCGAGCGGTCCGAATGAACTCTTTCCAAAACAAAAGTGTAGTATTATACTTGCTCTTCTTTAGATTTTCACTCTTGTATAATTCATTTTTCACCTTAATGTGGTCTAAAACCCTTTCTTTCCTGGATGAAATGAGCTGTTCATTATTAACTTTGTTCATAACAAGATTACGGATTGAAAAAAACTGAAAAGAAATGTGCGTGTCAAAGTACATATATTGTAGCAGCCATAAATTTGCAACATGGATAAGAGTATAAAAAGAAACGTTCTTTTTTTTCCTCTTTACATAACGAGTAAATAAAGCGTATCTTGAGTAAAGTTTAAGTGTTGTTATGGCTTAAGGTTGTAATATACCCTGTCATGTCCAACCGCAGAAAACGAAAATGCAGTTGTAACTATTTGTACTGAGGTAAAATATCGAGAGAAAACTAAGATGCAAGAACCAGTACCGAGACACAAATAAACATTAAGTTTAACTTAAATTTATTATACATGAACCACTCGTAGTGTATCAATCCTTTCAGTGATTCCAAATCAAATAATGCACTCTACAATAGCTCCTGGAAAAGAAACTAGAAAATTAACTCCATCACAACTTTTTTTCCTTCGCAACATTTTTTTTCTTGCATCTTTTTTCTTTCTCGCAAAATTGTTTTCTCACAACATTTCCCCCCCTCAGATTCTCCCACTGTTTAGAAGACAAAAGGATTGAACATATCAAAAGCATGCCGAACCTTAAAAACAAATAGGTTTGAATTCAATAAACCTTTGAGTCAGTGTTGTTCCAAGGAATTCCGTCTTTGATTCACGGTTCGAATTATTCTGAGAGCACGTTTATGATAGCTAAGATCAAAGCTGAGTTTAATGGTTTAGTTTAAGGCAAGACTCTGTACACATCTTTTTTTTGCAATATTGTTTATTAGAAATGAAATTAAGGAAGATATAGAGGATATTACATGGCCGCGCGGAGATACTGTTTTTCGAGTGTTGAAAAGATCTCTCATGAGTGAGCGTAGAGAAGAGAAAATTCGTATCTCCAAGCGAACATGTAACATTCTATTTATCATATAATTGTAGTATATGAAAGCAAATTATGTCGTAAAATAGCTTTTTTCTTACTTCCACTATATTGAGCGATAGCGAAAAACCTCGAATGTTATTTTCACTATAACATAACATAACTTAACATAACATGTTATTTTCATGTTATAACATGTTATTTTCACTAGTGAAAATATCAGTTTTACGAAATGGAGAAATATAGGTATTTCATAGATAATATTGATAAATATCTTTCTTTAGTTGTTTTACATGGCATTTTGAAAAGGAAAAAAAAAACTCGATTCAAAATGTACGGTTACAACTTAAACACAACTAAATTAAATCTGATTGAAAATTTCAAAACCTGTGCTTAAGAATTATAATTCTGGATTCTCAAAGTCGAAGGAGAATGTCCCGATCTTTTCAGTTTCGAAAAAAATACGCCAAGTTTAACAGTCTAAAACTGAATTTTCTTCGATGTTTCAGTACTAGCATGGCAATTACTTATATATGCTGATAAATGATTTTGTCTTTTGAGTGCACTTTTCTCATTAATTCCACCATAAATTAAATATAAATAATGTATTTATAAAAATGATTGATTGACTTGTCTTCAAGAAATGGTAAATATTTTGCTAATGAAGCCAATTGAATAAGAAACATGACCGAAAAGCGAAAAACTGTATTTACAAAATTCCAAATGGGATCTTCCCAAGAGCATTCTATATAATTTTATAGTATCTAAAAAAATTCTGGGGATTTTCACTGAATTTTACATTTGTTTTTTCGAGAATTGTTATATTGTTGTAAAATAACATCTTTTAGATCACCAAGCAAATCACCACAGACAGCAATAATCTCCTCTTTCTCAGTCTGTCCTATCTCCAGCGAATCAAAGTACATTTTAGCTTTGTAGATTTTCCTTAGGTTGATCGCTTCATCTACATTTTTGTTATCATCATTCATGTCAAACAGCCAGCATTCAGGAGCTGTGGGGATACCTTCATTCGGATGTGGGAAATTTTCGTGTGCGCGCATGTTCCGTGGACCGAGTTTTTTGTTGCAGATATAACAGTAGAATATAGAGCATTGTGAACATTTTATCACATTGCAGTCTCCATCTTGTTTTGTTATGGGAGCGCTAGGCACACAAGTTTTGCATCGGAAAGTTGCTGCGTCAGTTAGAAGCTCCTCCAGATCATGTCGCACTTTCTCGTTAGTGATGCAAGTGTCGACAGCACACACGTGATCTCGGTAGCCATGACGACCAAGGGTATGATTACAGGTCAGGCAAAAAGATGTTTTACACTTTGGACATTGCGCGAAGGGCTCGAAAAACATGTCGCTGTTGTCGTCGATGATGTAAAAGTACGGACAATTTGGACAGCAAATCTTGGTGTCGTTTCCTAGTGCAGCATTGAGCTCCATTTTCCTTAATTGGTTGACATCTAGTGAATTTTCGGGCATCTGGGAAGCGGAAGCGATGTCGTAAGTTAAGTCAGGATCAATCTCTGACTGGCATTCCTCGAATAAGGGACATTTGAAATCGAACGAGTTAGTGTCTTCAGTCTTTGTTCGTACCCATGGTATCACGCATTTTGCACAAAGACCATGATTGGTCAGTTTACTTGAACACTGTAGTACCTGGAAAACAAACGCACTTATTGCACTATCTATAGGGTTGGGTTTGTAACTTAGAATAGATACTCGTATTTTTATGAACATAGCTTTATGACGCAGCACATTTTGTCATGTGATCAAAACTTGTAGATTAAGCCAAGGTTGTCATCAGGGCGACTTCTTTCTATAAATATGAGTATTTTTCATAATTGATATGGGTTTCATCTCATCCTGTAAAACGTAAATATAGCTAAGTATTGATACGTTTTCACGCCCGCGATTGCACGGTCCCTGGTCTATACCCAGCGTGTAGAGGATTTTTCCACCCCCCCTTCTACTTGTGGTCTAATACGGCATTCTCTATTTGATATATTTTATAAGATATCACATTGTGACAATTAAATCACCTCTTTTTCAATATTTCCCACTAAAAAGCTATAAAAAATAGAAAAACGTGAATCAGAAAAGTTTTTACTTACAACACTTTGTTTGTCATCACGACATCCTAAACAAACCAGCTCCAGATTTTTGTTTTCCATGTCTTTCACGAAATACTTATGTACAATCTCCCGCTGATCGTTTGCTTCGCACTTACTATGGAATGACTGCTAGGTTGAACTAGTTTTTGTTATTTTTTCTTCCAGAGAACTTAAACCAAGCCTTGATGACGTCAGGGGAGATATGACATGTTATTTTTTGCTTGGTTGTTTCAGTTTTGTATGCATTTTGATGAAAACATTTTAAAAGATAAATGCTTTGTGCCTTGAAGAGTTATTTATGGACGATGACTGGGTAATAAATTCCCTCGTGAAATGGTTGCACACATCGATCTATTTTGAAAAACGTTGCATCATCGCCCTAAAAGGGTTTTTACTCATATAGAGTTTCAGATTGACTATGCAAGCTATACACACCTGTGATGGGAAGCAATTTCGCTTGTCATTTTGTAAAACCACGTACGTGAAACTTTGAAGCAACGTGAAATCTTATCCTTGAAATGGTTATCTTGTTTGGTCAGCACTGTAAATATTTGTTTCTTTTTTGATTATTACGTTTGTGAAGAGATGAAGAAGGAAGGCGCTCACCTACGTGTAAAAATCAGCGCGAAGTCGTATTGAAGGTGCAAGCGGCTCGAATCATCAGTAACTTGACATCTATTTAATAAGGCTGTACTGAATGTTTACTCGGGATTCTTTAAAAAAAAATTAAATTTTGCTAATGGGATCAAGCTGCAACTGCAAAAATAAAGTTGTGAAATAAATATAAACTCTCTCACTCCTTTCCACTTGAAATAAAGTGATAAATCAAAAGAAACAGTTTCTGTTTTTCGATAAATACTTCCTTCGTTTGTCGCCAGTAGTTTTAAGTTTTCCAAGTAAAGCGCTAGACAATTTTGTCAATATTTTTCACATCGCAAAAAAAAGTGTTTACCCATAAGCCTTTGGTGCCCGGTACGAGCGGTTACCTAGCGATCTCAAGATGGCGACTCCTATGGAAGTTCAAGGAAAAGGAGAAGAAAAACATCTTGTTGTGGCCAGTTCTGGCGCTGCTGGAAGTGTATCTGTAGCTCTTCATCCTTTAGTTATAATGAATATTTCTGAACATTACACTAGAATACGTGCACAAGAAGGGAAGCCAAATCCACAAGGTAAGTTTTGCGTGGAGCTTTTTAGGTTAAACTCACAACTACACCAACACCTTATGCTGTTTTTGTAAGGAATATTGTGCATGATACTGCTCAGATATAAAAGAAAATGTACAGGTACTCAACTTAATTTGAAAGATTATTCTCAATTCTTGGAATGTTAAGCTTAAATTGGGCAATTAATAACACTCTTATAGGATTGACAAATCCTCGAACGTTGACATTGTAATCTTCAGACCAGAATCTTAAGGTCTACGAGATTTGATATGTATAATAATAAAATAAAGTTGATTCTTTTTGTGTCACAGAGAAGACAACGGCACAGATTATTTATTGAATGCTCAACACATTGGCGCAGAGTACGAATAGTTTATTCAATTGTTTATGATATTTTTCAGTTGTTGGTGCTCTGTTAGGGACGCAGGATGGCAGAAATGTTGAGATATTTAATTCCTTTGAACTTCAATTTGATGTGTTTGATGATGGCCATATCATAATAAACATGGAATACTACAGAACCAAAGAAGAACAATGTAAGTTTCTAAGAATATGAAAAAAATTCCTTATTTTTAGATTTAATTTGAGTGGAGTGCAATTTGGTCTGAAATCAAACGCGCGATTACAAAATCGCACGACCGCGAAGCGGGAGTGCGATTTGTAATTGCAAGTTTGATTTCAGACCAAAATTGCACGACACGAAGTTCAATTACCACTTAATTTATATATCCATTTTGAAATCCTAACAAAAAGAGACAGTCGTCGCTTTTTAAAACCGGAACCGGAAAGTGTTTTACATCCATTTGCAATTCATAAACTGACAGGTCGAGGAAAACTACGAACTTAACAAATTTCAAACGAGCAGATTTTGTACAAGTTTTATTTCATTTTGAGTCCTCATAAGATTAAATTATGGAGGCCGTCTGTTTCGCCTGTCGCAAAGAAGATTAAAGAGTTGTTGCAGGGTCTTTGAGATGGATATTTTAACGTGTTTATCGACAAATTTGCGTAAAGCTGCCATCGGCGAAGACGATCGATGCCATGTGATTTTAAGAATTTCCTCGCCTTCACAATCCTTACGTTGTTGCCTTTCTCCTTCAAAGAGCGGTCAAAGGAARTTTGTATCTGTCTTACTGTTTCTGGTTGGTAGTTGTCGACTTTTTGAAGTCTTACTCTAGCATAGAACTGGTATAAAATGTTGTTCAAAAGTTTTGCTTGCTTGACAATCAAGATGGCGGCTCGCGAACGAGGACATTCATCCACATTTTCCAAAGTTTTGTTGCTTTCTTTGTTCTTATAAGTGACCTGAAGCCTAAGGATGTCTGCATAATTTATAAGGCCTGGAAATCTTCATTCATAGACGGGCTTCAATTGTTTGTGTTGCAGTTYCAAACTGAGCTGCATGAACTTGCATCCCTTGTTGAACATTTCTGACATTTTTGGACTGTAAATTACACTTTCGTCAGGATTTAGAAGTAGCAAATAATGAAAATTACACTGAGATAGTACATTGTCATCTAAAACTGTAAGTAAGAACTAAAATAATCCAATTTGCACATATTTTCATAAAAATATTTGCTGTAAAACCTAAAAATGTACTCTTTGTGTGTCCTTTTTGCTGTAGTTTGATTGGTTAACCACACACAATACTGTAATGTGATTGGTTGCCTTTTACTTGTTTTGCATTGTGATTGGCTCRTCAAAYYAGTGRYATTAAGAATTAAAKATGGTGCGATTTWMGCTGAYATCAACCTGCTAAGAACCAATCAGATTGCAGGATTCACTTGTGATTTCAAAATGGATATAATTAAGCATTACATTGTAGACTGAGAGATAAATATAATGTTTATTAAGAATATAACAACTGGCAATGACAACAATACATAGGATACATGGTAATAAAATATAATATAATAAAAAAATGAAATATAATCAATTACTTAATATACAAATATTTTTGGTGTACAAATATTTTTGGTGTACAAATATTTTTGTATTTGGCTCACTGTCCTATAGTTTTGTTAAGTATTTTAGTTGCACACATGGATGGAAATCCCTTATCTAAAATAAAAACACAAGTTTCACAGTAAATCATTGAACCAATGTTTCATAATCAAAGTACAATGAAGCAGAATACGCAAACACAAAACAATCTGAAAATGTGACAATGAAGATAAATAGTGTAACTTGCTAAAGTGTTTTTTCATGTTTTTTTTGGAAACAACTCTACTATGTAATCAATAGTTCGTCAAGTTTTCAAGAACCTTGATTTCCTTGGATGGTATTCGACGGGTATTGCAGCACAAGAAAGCGATATTGGTATTCATAAGCAGGTAAATTGATAGTTGGTGCATACTTGTCATCATTATTATTAATATTATTATCTCTAAAAAAACTGTTTTATTATTTGGAGTTGCTATGCAGCTACTATAATTAGATATACTAATTTTATATTCTTTAAAGGTTTGTGAAATTAATGAAAGTCCATTGTTCCTGAAGCTGAACCCTCTGGCCAGCACAAGTGATGTAAGTAATATGCTAAACTATTATATTTTGGTTTGAATAATTTGTATCCACTATCACAAATCAATCATTCTGATTMGCTATTGAACCACAGTCTATTCATATAAGAAATAGTGTCATGTAGTCACGCAACGACTAAACCCGACACAAACTCTTGAACAATAAGTAGCTAGTTATCATTGCATGTTATCAATCAACGTATAGATTAACAATAGTGACAAGCCCATTACTTGCGGTCTTTCTAATTTAGTCCCTATTTTGTATTCACAATAGCATAGGAATTTAGGTTTTTCCTGTTTTTCAAGATATGGAATTTAGTATTAGTTTTAGTAGCACGTCCAACCGAACCTAATTTAGTGTAGTCTCAGGAGCCAAACYBAGAGGAGCAACAAACTCGGAACGGAGTCAACTAGCCTTTAGAAGTCTTCTTTTAACTAGTTATCCAATCCCGCAGAGACGAGATCAGACGTAAGTTTACTCGTTTTCAATATTTTATACAATGCGTTTAAGTATAGTTTAGCATTAYCAATTTGTAGTAATTATAAGCAATTTTACGCTCTTTAGTTTTTACCGCAAGCGAGTCAACGTGTATTCAGGCAGTTACGCTAATAAACGAATATAACCTRCACGACTCAAAGTGGTTAATCTGGCGAACTCCGGTGCCCAACACCACGTGTCTGCGACATCAGGAACGCAACAAATAGAAAAAAGTCTAAAAAAAGTTAATGACAGGTTTTCTTGTACTGTTCTTACTTCGAATTTTCTATGGTTTGGTGGACACATCAGCCTCAATTATTGGTATAGTGGTCTATATTTTTTTGTGTGTGTTAAATAGCAGACTAAAAACACACTCTTCTTATTAAGTAAATTTGCCATTACTTGCATTGTTACCATATAAAATGTCATTGTAGATTTATACAGTCTGTGATTTATTTCCTTCAGCTGCCAATCACAATGTATGAGAGTGTTATAGATCTCATTGAAGGAGAGGTAAGCAGATCAGTAAATATACTAAACATTCTTCATCTGGAGGGCAAAATAAAAGCCTTTTTCTCTTATGGTAGCTAGAATCCATTGTCTTTCTGTTCTGAGTGTTAGCATACTTTTCAGTGCTTTGCTGAATTGGTAAAATCCTTTTATTCATTACTGCAATCATTAATATATGAGTTTAAATATTGATACAACGTTTTCAAAAAATGATGGCATGAATATATAGGTTTGTTGCAATGTTTGTCAATGCTATAAGTTTGAATATACTTTGCTCAAAACAAGCTAATTTTGTTTGAAATCTTTAGACAAGGATGCTCTTTGTCGAGGTTCCATATACTCTTGCCACAGAAGAAGCTGAAAGAATTGGTGTTGATCATGTTGCGAGGTTATCAGCAACAGGCACAGTTGATGGAGCTACAGGTTTGTTTCCTTGTTAATTAATTGCCCATTCTTTCATGTTTTGATTGATTAATTTGTTGTTCCAGTATCTGAACATCTTCTAGCTCAATATAACGCCATCAAGATGCTTCTTTCTCGTGTTAAAATGATTCTTGAATATGTGAATGCTGTGAAAAAAGGTAAAATGTTTTCTACGAAGAATGAAGAAGAGTGTTTTTAATTCTATTGTATGATAAATAGTGATTTTGTTGTTTTGTTTGAAGGTGAAGTTCCCTGTAACCATGAAATCATGAGAGATGCTTTGAGTCTTTGTCAGAGATTACCAGTGATGAAGACAGAGATGTTTAAAGAAGGCTTTTATGACGTAAGTAGGAAATAAAACTTTATAAACATCAAATACTAGTATCACGCTACTGATTTTATCGGAAATTGTACTTTCCCTTTCCTTTGAATAATGTTTATTACTCCTATGTTGTTAGAAATGGAAAAGGAACATAAATTTTTGATAGGTCTTTATGTGCTTGTTATGTCTGTAGCAATGCAACGATGTAATGCTGATGTGTTACCTAGCAACCGTCACCAAAGGCTGTAATAGCCTTAATGAGGTAAATATATACAGTTACGGACTTTCTGATCATTTATAGTAGTAACGTGTTTTGTAAGTGTGCATTCAAATGTGTATTCAGCGTTTTGCAGAAATTCCGAAAATTTCAACAATATCTATAAATACCGAATATATCGAGTGCATTGTAAGTAATTTTCACTGAAAAAATGGCTAGAAGTCTTCTTTGAACTGCTAAATATTTTTGTTGGTAAGTTATTCAGATACCGATTGATTTTGATGCTAAAAAATCAATTAGGAGATATTAAACATCCATTAATATTATGAAAATTGCGATATTTGTTGACTTTTTCAGACTTTTTTGTAAAACGCTTTAGCGGTAAAAACGGTATAAATATCTATCGATGTGTCTTTCCTTAGTTCATTAACAAGTTCACCGTGGTCCACGATCGACATGGGATAGGAAGACGAATGAGAGGATTGCTTTTTTAGAAACAACAACAAAGTTGAGCTGTACAGAAATCCCATGAAGGGTTCCTGTTTGTTCCATTGAAAAAAGTCCTTCCGTTCTTTCGTTGAAACTGAATGTGTTTTTGTACACAAATGAATCATATCTGTTCGGCTTCAAAAAGATCTTACAGGTATTTTAAAATCGTTTAAAAAATTTGCCGAAACGTGACCGAGTTTTCTTACTTTAAGTCTCTTCTTGTAGAAATTACATTAATATGAATTATATTAATGTTGGTCTGAATTGGAAGATGAATTTACATTGTACATTTGTGTTTTGTGGTGGAAACTTCGGATATTGTAAATAAACATATAACAGAAGAAATATTAAAGTGAAATGCAGGAAACAGAATGACTTTCGGTGTTGGGATATATACCCACACTAATAAATATGTGAGGGAGACCTTTAAGGGCATTCCAACAAGCGAAAGGTGCTGTTATATTATGCCATTTTCTCAACGTGCAAGACAAGCACGACAGAAGATGGCCCCTGGGTTTCCGAGGATGCAAGAGCAACGCAGAAAATTTTAAACCATTTTTCGCGGCAACAAGATGGCGGCAGTGGCGGACATGCATTCATGATTTAACGGCGTACGTGACAGTCTTGACAATAGACGACTTCACTCTTGACGATGAATGATGGGTAATCAGGGCAAGATTACTAAGAGGCGATGGGGAAAGAGATCCTTTTTTCGCTATATTTCCGTTCAGAGGAAAATTTGCGGGACCAAACTGTTGTAGTTGATAGAGATACCTCTATTCTATGTATTGTGATGAAGAAGGACGGAGGCAGTAGATTTGCGATAAGATTCGATGAAAATAACTCAAGATTTGACCGTTGAAAAAAAAATTGTGCCGCAGCAAGAATGACCCGATCGGCTCAAAAATAGCCATAAAACATTGAACAGTCAATTATCCATCTACAGGAAGAGTCTGGTTTGGGATGGTTAACTCAGAAACGAAATATTGCGAAAAACGTATCTCTTTCCCATTGCCTCTTAGCAATCTTGCCCTGATTACCCATGATTCATCGTCAAGCGTGAAGTCGTCTATGGTATTTGTTACGAAAAGTAGATCTGAGTTCTACTTCGTACCTACACGCAACAACAAAAAGTTGCAAAACGGCCCCTGTTGTTCTCTGCGTTGCGAGAGAAGTTGCGGAGAAAATTCCATAGCGTAAAAGCTCTTTATTTAAGCGGGGGTGTGTGAAGGGTGTAAAGATTACTAAATTGTGTGAGTGTTAGAGATTCGGTCACGGCAATGATTTTCCATTGTGTTTACCCATTGAACTATTAATGACTTCGATCATATTAAAAATACTTTAATTAGAGCGATAGAGCGTATTTCGTATGACTGTGCAACGACATGGATCACAACACGGCACAATACATCACCGCTACGGCACGGTACGGTCACAGCGCGACAGTACCGTGTTTTTTGCACAGTCGTACGAAATCCGCTCTATCACATAAGCAATGTCTTGCTTGCAAATGGTTTGCAAGTAAAATAGTATGATAACGGAAGTGCGCAGTGCCTATATGCTCCAGTGAACAGCTGAAAAGCATTGCAACAGCTGATTTTTATTTCATTTTTATTTCAAAATAATACAATTTAACCACTTTTTTCACGTCCACTTGTGACTTTATATCCGTCAAGCCTGTTGTCACTTCCTTGTGGCACAAATCTTTGTCAGCTTCTTGCGCTTCGTGTCCTACTTCCCTGTCTGTTTTCTTCTTCTTTCTTGACTCATCTTCGTTTAACTTCGCCCTGCACTCTCCGGTGCGCCGGGGTTGCTTTCGCCGCGTATTTCATCTGGTTTGATTGCACCTCTTCTTGTTCCTCTACATAAATAGGTTTCGATGTTGTACTTTAAAGAACATGAAGGTAGCGATGAAGCTATGGCKTTTTTAACTATATTTTTCAAACGATTGATAACCCTGTCTGGCAAGCAATCCATGTATATTTGAACTAAAGTAGAGGTGTGTTGATCTTTTCCAACGAAAATGAACGAGACACGCATTACGTGCATGCTATATAGTTTTAAGTTGGATGTTATGTAAAAATTGCAATATGCATATAGGTTGGGAAACAGTCAATACTTACCGTTTGATAATAAGACTACGGAAATATGTAAATTAGAGAAAGAGTTGACTTCCCTTCGATCTATATGTTGTAAAATGTTGATTTTTCATCTTAAAAACAAAAATCAGTTGTGCATGTTGTGATATTTTCGTGCGCACTCATACTGTTTTACTCTCAGAACTGAATTTGCATGCAAAACATTGATTGCTTATAATGTGTTTGTATTTCCAATATTAATGTTTTATTATTTTCTCGTGTGCCCTTTTAGCGACTGCTGAACGTATTTGGTTCCGATATATTTCTCGGCAGCAATAAAATGATTTTTTAAAAAAAGAATCAAACACGTAGATATCCAGTACAGTGACAAACTTTCGTGACCATGTCTTAACTCAGCATGAGGTCACGAAAGAACTGAATATAAAGTTGCGTGTCTTACAGTATATTTCCATAAATCGGATATTCGCTACAGTTATTCACACTTTGTGCAGTCACGAAGATTTCAACTTGGCAAATACGTTGTTTGTTTTGTAGCTCGGTACAGGCTATTTATACGATTGAAAGCTGCGTTTACATAAGTTTATTTCAGCATCAAAGGCAATGGATAAACAGGCATCACTACGACAGCTTCTTCGTCCGGTTGGTTTTCCCCATAAAGTCGACGGTCTTCGTCCGAGAAATGTTTCGATTCTGTGTTTAGTAGCAATKCTGGTAGTTTTCCAAGTATTTTCTTTGCATCATTTGATTATCAAAAGAAATGACTGGCTAAACAAGACGGCTAAGGATGAAAAGACTTCACTCGTTACAAAACAAGCGAGCAATAGGATGAACATATTGGATCGTTTTTGGCCGGTAAATGAAATAGATACTTCACTTAAACGAATGGAACTCAAYAAGACTGGTAGTTCTTCTCGGCTTTCACTGATAGTTTGGCAAACGAAAAACCAAAAGTCTTAACTAATCATTAACTCGACGAGTTCAACCATGTCACCACATTGCACCAAAACYTGTCAAGCGCTCCAAGGAACATCTCTATAAATCATGGAATTCCCGAAACTTTAAGCTAATGTTTTTATTAGGCAAAAGCAGCAACGAAGACTTTGATGAAGAGATCGAGGAAGAATCAAGAGAATATAGTAATTGGGAAATTTAGGGACCATGTTCAAGTCTCATAACATGACTGGCAAGTACATTCTAAAACGTGATGAAGATACTTCATGATCTTCCTCGCCCAATGTTGTGTGTACTCGAGAGGATACTGTTCGTTTGGCTTTGAAGGGCGCGTGGTCAATAAGACTTACATTGTATTATGTAACTTTGGCTTCTTTCAAGAAATTTAAAATACCWGTAAGCTTACTATGAAATTTTCAGATTGTATTTTTTGCAAGTAATTAGTGGTTTACATGCTAATAAAAATTGGTCGCTTTATTTTGAAGAACATTTTAGGATTCATTTGCACAAAGGTCACAAAGGACACGATAGAAAACTAGACGCCCCTGGGGCGTGAAGTCGGACTAGCTATAATCATATGATTATATTATGAATGCAAATGAAACTTGAGAAAAAACACGAGCGTAGCGAGTGTTTCTCTTGCTTCTCGAGTGTTTTTCAACTCCCACCGTGTTTATATCAGAGGACAGAGACACAAGCGGCCGTTTTATATTTCTTTTGTAAAATTTTTCGAGCGAAAAGAAAATTTTGCTGGTAAGCCGTGTCTCTGTCCTCTGATATAAACACGGTCGTCAGCCAATCAGAGCGCGCGTTATATATCACTGATATATATCACATCCTTAGTTTTAGAGACTACAGCGCATTAGTGTACTGCTCTATCTTTACTTATATTTATATATAAATATAAGTAAAGATAGAGCAGTACACTAATGCGCTGTAGTCTCTAATACTAAGGATGTTACGTAGTGTGAAAGCAGCCTCGTTCCCAAGGGCTACTCTGCGAGATGTAAACCGATACTTCGTAGCTGAGTGAATTCCGCAACGTGGCTATCTGATTCTATCACTAACACTTCGCAAACTGTCTGATTTTCACGATGTTGTGGTTTAACGGAATACTTAACCTTTAAATTACTTCAATTAGAATAAGTCTATCCATATTTTTACTTTGTTTAACATGAAAGACTATCAGAGTGAACGAATTGAGTCACGTCTGCATTCCTTGCGTGATTTTACCGTGTAGATTTGTCATCGGTGCTCCTTCAAAAGATGCTGAATATTGCATGAAAAGTAATCAACAAGGAGTTACTTTCACTATTTTTGCTCTTTAATATATGCACGCTGGGAAATTTCACAGTCAAATGTGGCCAAGTTGAGTCCATAATATGTTGGTCAGCTGTAACACCCCACACTTAGCATAATACAACAATGAAACTATGAAACAATTAAAGTGTTTTTTTATAAACGTTTGGAACGAAAAAGTAATCATAAAGAGAAAGAGTAAAAGCCTTGAATTATTAAATAGTTAAATGCATGCATGATCTACATGACCTCCATGACTGTCGGGACAATATTACGTTACAGCTTTCTTATTAATTCGGCTAGATTTCTTCCTCAAAGCATTAAATAATTGCTTTGATTTTCGTAAAAAGTATTCTTTTAATTCTGATCTTCTTTGAGCGAGATCGCCTAAGGGAAATCGCAGTTTTTGTGTACTTTTGGACTTTCTTCGCGGATCTCTTCGCTTCGCGCTTCCCATCGGCTACATCAGTACTCAATGCCACCTAAAAATCATGAACTTTGTGACAAATTTTCAACATCAAATAAATAAGAATCAATGTTCTAGAGGTTCTAAAAATATTCAGTACATTCAAAAGTGTGGTTCTATGGTTTTACTTTGTTCATAAATCCTACACAAAGACCAAAAAAAAAAGAAATAAAACACGGTACTCACGCTTAATATCGATGATTGCTCTTCAGATGTCTCTGCCAACTTTGTTCCGGAGCAAAAATMCGAAAAAAACGTGCAAATATAGCAAATTTGGTACGAGAAGAAAGCTCAAGAAGCGAATAATCGTTTTGTCTTTGTCACGAAACACACATACTAGCTCCCAGGCTTAAAWGGGCCAATAAAACTACAGGCATACCAGCTTCGGAATGAATGAACTCCGGCCGAGCTCAATTCTCTCCTTAAAAGACTGGGATCTAGTGGACATTGGGTGGCTGATAAAGGGGTATTAATTTCCCAGCGTGATGTGATTTCAAATCACTACGTAGTTTATTTAACACGATTGGGTGCATAAGCGAATAATGAATATAGCCAAACTTTTCAACCCCTTTAGGGCACGAGTACACTCTGCTGTCAGGGTCTAGTTTGAAAATATAGAAAGACAGTAAAAACATATATTTCTTAATTTTTTCCAAAATAGCCAAACTCACAGTCTACTAAGAGTCTAGTTCAAAATATGCAAAATTTCTTGCCCTAAAAGGTCATGTAATTAACGACCATTAACACCGTTTTAAAAGAGTTATTGCTTGACTGATACAATCAGTACTTGAGACAAAGTGTCGCTAAGTGATATCACTGATATCATGATATATTAATACCTTGACCTCTCAGGCCAAAAAAATAAATACTTTACAAGTAAAAGATACCTATAAAATCATTAAAGTCCCCTTTTTGTCATTGATAAACAAAGTTTCTTCTTGTTGTAATTTGAAATATTTGCCCARACAAGACTGTCTAACGCTAGAAAGGTTATTGATTCAGTTTTGTAAGCATACTATTCGAAGCTCCATGCAATCTGCACATGCGCGTACTTCTGATGCCTAGACTGATTGATGCATTCCGATGAGATAACAGATACCACATTTGCAAACGAATAGTTCTTTTATCATATAAAAGGCAAGCAGCATATAACATTTACTAACGATATTCGTACATCTATACGTTTGAGCTTCCGGTCCTGTAATAACAATATTAAATTCTTAACTTCCGGTGGTCCAAACGCGACATAATAGATAGATAGACAGATAGATTGGCTAAAAAATAAATTTAAAGTCGGACCCGCCTTCGGCTAGTCCGACTAAAAATAAGTTTGAAAAGGACTTCAGCTCCAAGGAATTTTGCAAAACTTGTCCAGATTGTTTCTATTATAAAATCCTAAAACTTTTACCGAAATAAAATGGACCATTTTTCTGAAATTCCGATGGAAATTCCGGATGGGCGACAAGTTGTTAACGTGATCTTAGTCACCAGGCTCTCTGAGAAAAAAAAATTTGCAATTCAGTTTCAACTTTTATAATCAATTTAAAAAGAATTTTGTATGTAGTTAGTTTTTAACATATTTCTTTTGAAATAAGCGAAAAGTAAATCTCGAAAGACAATGAATAATAATACTAATGATAAATAATAATCCACAAGCACATGCGTTGATGAAATAAAGAAGGGGCTGGGCTGCCTTTGCTTTGACCAGCTAATGCATTGGAACGGGATTTCTTCGCACTTATAAGAAAACAGGCGGCCCATCAGCATGTCTTCTTCAATTTTCCAACAGGTTTCTCACGTGCTTATCTGCTTCTAATTAAGCTAGTGTCTGTCTTTGTGTATTTATTTTAAACCGTTATTTGATGTAAAGCATTTACCTTTGGATTGACTGGAAAATATCAATACTTTGTCTGATCAAGAGGAAGCTGTAATTTGATCACTATGATTTGTATATCCAAAGACGTCTTCACTCTCAAATCATCTTAGTATTATTCAAAAAATTTAGTATAAATTGATACAGCAAATTATATCAACACAATAGTAATATTTGACAAATAAACCAAACTTTCAATTCATTCTYTGTTTGAAATCTTGTAGCCTGTGTGCAGCCGAACCAAACATAACAACACTTTTAGTTTGGCTGCATGCAGGCTAGAGATCTTGCTCAAAGAAACCTTGCACCAAAGTGATATCATTATGGACTCAAACAAGACAACAAGCACAGCACAATAGCTTTATTCATTGATATTAAACTGCATACAACACTCTACTTCAGCTTCTTCTTGGGACGGAGGTTGTTACTGTGTCCACACTTCTTCTTTCTGCAGTTGGTAGCACGGGGGTGAAGACGYGCATAACACCTAAAACCAAAGTTTGTGAGGTCAATAGTCCTGATGACAATTTATGTTTGAAATATTACAGAAACATAAGTTCACATACTTTCTGCAAATCATCTTGTCACAGTTGTACTTCTGGGCCAAGATACGTAAACTGGGTTCAATGACTCCACCACGTAGACGCAGGACAAGATGAAGAGTTGATTCTTAACAAAACAAAAGGTCAAGTTAAAATCAATACATGATTTCTGAAAGTCTATTCAACCAAAACAATTATTGGAAAGAATACTTTAACTTATGTAATCAGAAATAAAGTTTTTGAGTGATCTTACTTAAACTGCCCAACTGTACAAACTAAATAGTGCTATTTAGTTGTATTTAGTAAATCATGCATGCGGTACGCAAATTAATTCATTTGAATTGATACAAATGAAGCATTCAATACTGTCAAGCTTCAAGTCCACTATTTGTATATAATTAGTACTACTTAGCTTTTGTAAGTGCAATCACTCTACTACATGGAAAATGTTTATTTGCACAAAATGGGAAAACTGCCCAGTGTTTATTGTTTATATCATACCTTTTTGGATATTATAATCAGARAGAGTGCGTCCATCCTCAAGCTGCTTACCAGCAAAGATCAATCGCTGTTGATCAGGGGGAATACCTGTGAAGCAAGCACATTATCAGATGTAAGCCAATGTACACTACACTATTGCGCAGTTTTAAAAAAGTCTTCAAATAAAAGAACAATGGGAATACTGCATGTGCTCTATGGAATTCAAATCTTGTCAAACATAAAATCAAATTATATCAAACACCACTGACCAAGGTAGTGTTAATATGGTAAAATGACTGGATTGATGGTGTTTCCTATTCTAATGTTTCTCATTTGGCTGAGGTTTTAGAGTCTGGACCTGAATTCACCAAGACATCTAATGTAACTAGACTGATGAGAGCATAGACCTTTTCTGAAATACAAAATCATGGTGCATTGTGGTCTAGCTTCGGTACAAACAACATCATATTTGGCAGCATGAACAAAAGATGTTTGTACCGAATCTAGACCACAATGCAAACCAAACTGCTATCTCAAAAAAGGTCTATGTTATATAATTATTGCCTTGAGGATCTAAGGAGGTGAAATAAGAAGCATTGATAGAAATTCGGTTGTTTCAGTAGCTGTCAGTACCACAGAAATTGACTTTACCTTCCTTGTCCTGAATCTTGGTCTTGACATTCTCAATAGTATCGCTAGGCTCTACTTCAAGGGTGATGGTCTTACCCGTTAYGGTTTTAACGAAGATCTGCATGTTGGCAGTTGTCTGTCAACCTGAAAAATTATGTTATCACAATTGTTACTGAAAGTTGTACAGCTCAAACATCATTGAGTACTGAACACCTTGATATTACAAAGTGTATTCTAATAATGAAATGGACTTCACAAAAGTGAGATTATATTTTGGAGGTACCGTACGTATCCAAAACTCCACATGTTTTGAAAAGTCTAAGTTGACAGTAGGTACAATACATGAATCCAATGTCAAATCAAAAACTATCAATCCAACTAATCATAATGACTTGATACCAATGAATTCTATCAATGATCTATTGACAATTTCTTAGGAACCTAATCCCCAAGGACATCTTTGCCAACTCCTATTCAAAATGYAGTTGGGGCAACTATTACCTTGAATAGGTGCTGACAGAGATYCCCAGGGAATGCTTACACTATAGTAATATATGTATATTGTACAATTACGTCCCACTATTCAGATTGAACTACAGACATCTACTGGACACTTGTGGAAAAGGACTGCTTAGATTCTAATATAGCCAATATCCCTAAAGATGGTATGCTACCATTTATAGACCAGTATTATATAAATATATGGCTGCAACAATAAAGTGAAAAGATCGATCGAATTGTATAAAAATATYCCAAAATAAATCGCCAAACGAAAGAAAAAATCAGATAAACTCAGGTGAAATTTCAGTGTTAATTTTTGAAAATTTCACGAGCTTAATAGCAAATATAAATAGCTAAGTAGAAAGCTCTATCATCTAAATTACTCYTAATGCTATTTTAATGAGATAGACGTCAGAAACTTTAACAAAATCAGGCATTTTATAGAGGCTACAAACACAAAATCCGCCATTTTACCTCGTGTCTTGTTCGAAAGAGACCGGACTAATCTGCGGGGTGGTCCTTTATTTCCGAGCAGAGCCTGGATCGAGTTACTATTCCCAGTCTCCACATTACATTGCGCATTCAAGATGGCGGACGACAGTGAAAAAATGGATGTTGATAARGAAGAAGGTCTTTCTACAGCGGAATGGCTGGTTGATAGAGCGAAACAAAGTCTAAAGCATAATAATGTGTTCGAGGCYAAGTCTTGGCTACTGACWGCAAAAACGTTGTATCCAAAAGACTTCAATGTTCAGGTAAATATTAAACTCTCTCTTCTGATAAAMTCGATAAAGGCTGTCATAAAGGCTTATTATTGTTTATTAGGTTTACTGAAAAGTTATGTCATGTTAATAATTGTTGAACTGTAAAAAGTGTTGCATAAGCTGCAAAGTTGAGGGCATTATTATCACGTAAAAGCAGTTCAAATGATCTACATTCAGATTGTTTTCTTTTTCAAGTTTTTTGTCCTTATTATATGACGGTGCCCTTCTAGACACGTTTCAGCATAATAGCATTATAATGCAAGTTTGATCTCTAGCATGAGGCTTACAACATTGAGCGAAATACCAAGAAAGTTAAAGAATCAGCAAATTTATTTTATGAAATGTAAGTATTMACTAAGGTAACAGCCTTGTCTGGTCTGTTTCACTCTATTATTGTTAGATTTAATGTTGACTTTGATTATATTTCATTCTTGCTTTATAAGGTTTGTCCAGTTTCCTAGTGAAAGTCTTTTATGGGAAGACATCCAGAACTTGACTGTTGCTTTAGAGGAAAGTGAACTGGATCCATCAAAAGAGTTTTTAAAAGGTAGTAAAACCATATTATTTTTAAGTTTATCGCAGACCAGTTTAACTTACCTAAGGCTTTCTGCTGTCACTGCCATGTTTGAATATCAATCTTTTTTRTCAACCAAATMTTGTTGCAGCATTCACATTGTTCTTTCTATCTGTTCATAAATGTACAAAATTCATTATCTTTCTCTCTATCAATTTTATCTTTCTGTCCTTATTTTKTAGAAATGTTTAACTGCCTTCCTCAAAGTGCACAAAGGGAGATTCTACTTCAAGCTGCAGGTAACTCAAATAAAAAATAAAAAAAACAACTTTTAAAAAAAATCAAAACAAAAAATAATAAATAATGAAAAAAATCAACTTTTGAAAAATATTGTAGATTTATGAACTATTTTCTCAACATACGCAACAGGAAGATGCAAAGACTGCATTGAGAAATGTCGTATGATGTTGTTGTTGATGAGAAGGTTTCCTGATTCTGTCCCTAAAAATGGAGTAAGTGTAATTCTCATCATAGAATTTGTATTCTTCCTTGTCTTGATTATTTTTCATTATTCTTTATTTCTTCTTTCCTTTTTCACCCACTTCTCCTTGATATCTGCTCATCCACTTTCTTCTATCACAGATTACATTGACAGATTTGTTGATTGATGCTGAAAGTACTGAATATCCTAACAACCCACTRAATCCATACAGAAAACTTCTTGGTAAATGAAAATTGTGAATTAGCTTCATTTTACCAGTGAACTTGTTTATTAATTGGTATATTTGAAATGAAGGCTGACCAACTATAGGCTTTGTATTGTCAAAGCTTTGCTTTGTTCCAGGTTTAGGTGACTAAAATAGACATTTAATTCATTCATTAATAGACATTTTGTTATAGGGCAAAGCCTATACATTGTATATTGAATTATGGAACATTTCACATAGCAAAATCTAAGTTTCTTTAATTTACTTTTTTTATAAATAACTGTAACCATGTCTCTTGCAGTGTGCGATGTTCTTCCACATTTATTGGGAAGTGAAAGTATTGAAGTGGAAGGTGTYTGGTCCCAAGAAAACCAGGAAACTCAACGYCCAGTCACTATRTCTCTCCAGACAGCCCTCAAATGGCTTGAGCTTAGTATCCAGTTTTACTCATTTTGRGCWACTTATGTTCATGTGTCCAGTGTTGCTGAAGCACAGATTATGTCACCTGCAGTACATGCTAACTCCCATTTAAATGAGACWAGAGATATTGTCAACAGTGTCCAGGAAGGAAAGGGATCTTGGTTTGAATTYTATGAAATATTTTGTCAAATTGCCAAGAAGTGCAGATGGAATGAAATTTTAAAGATACAAGATAAACTTGACCCATTTGTTCACAGGTAATAAATTTGTATGAAAATCTAAGTAAAATGCTTGTCTGTAATAAGAACATTGCCTGTCACTTTTCAATGATGGTATAAAAATCTCAAAATTGCACGAAAAGTAAAGTCCTATGATTGCATGCCCAATCTTCATGTGGCTTGATACCACAAAGGTATAGCTACCTTTCAAGATGGCACAGAGAGCCACGAAGAAGACTATTCTATAGAATNAAAAAGTGAGTTTCATAATCCACAGGCAACCCAGTGTTAACACCAAGCACATCACTAGTTCTGATTGAAGACATGAGTGCTGATAAGACTGGTACCAATGAAGGATGGGCAGGAGGTTCTCCTTCAGAGACAAGGTTTGATTTAAAATTCTATTACAAATGTGTTTAGATATTGAACGTGGAAAGGTCATGTTTTTATTGTTTCTGCAGTAGTTCTGCTCCCAAGAAGAAAAAGAAGAAAGGATCGACAGTATGTAAAAATATAGCCTCCTCCACAGGCTACTCCTTTTTTCCCCCTTTTTCTCCTTTTTGGGTTTCCTGTGGTAACGAGGGACATTGCAGAGCGGGGGCTTGGGGCGAGAAAAAGGAAAATGAAGGGTTTATTTTTGCTCGCTCCCAGTCTCCTTTCCTCAACACAGGAAGCCCGATAAAGTAGGAAATAAAGGAGATGCCTGTGGAGGAGGCTAGTAAAAAGAGTCTCCTTCATGGTTACCATACCTGCACCATCTTGAAAGGTAGCCGTGCCTTTACATCGAAGCGAGACAACTGTTGAGTGTGCAATGATAGATACCTGTGAATAAATGTCTGTAGGAGTGAAAGAAGGTTTCTATAATTGCATGCTCAACGGTCGTCTTGCTTTGATATAAATTTAAGACACAGCTATCTTTTAAGATGGTACTGGTGACCGTGAAGGAGACTATTGATATTTTTTCTTTTTTCATTTACTACTCATTTGCTTCTTTAAACAGGCTCCTCTGTCACCATCAAGAGAAGAGCAACGAGCYAAACAAACAGCAACAATCATAGTCAATAAAAGTACGAACTCTATATCATACCTTAAATATTGGTCGTAAAATAATACCAGTTACAAGCAATATTGCTTTATATATTTTAGACTGTGGCAGCATTAGTTCCAGRATCTCAGACGACTTTGTTGTATCTGTTGATACATGGCACATACTCAACACTCATGTGGATTATAAAAATGGTAAACAAGTTGCTAAAAAACCTGACTATGAATTTGTTTAGAACTTTGCTTTTTTGTATTGTATACATTTTAAAGAAATAAATTTAAAATTCAATTTTCAATGACTATTAATATATTTTGATATTTACAGAGTTTACTAGAGTATTAACTGAATGGCACACTGAATTGTGGATTTGGATGGAGACGTTTAAAGTGGATAGAATGGTCTATAAGGTGAARCAGCATTAACTTATATCTGTTAAATGAAAATGAATTTACATTTTTYAAGTGGCTTTTCATTATCTACTGCAGGCCAAGTATAAAAAAGTGATTGATTTTCTTAAAGAACAAAAAAGCTTTCTACTAGCAGATCCCAGCCCTGTAAARCAAGAGGTGAWTATTATTGACAATGATYATATTARTGACATGAGTTGTCAAAGTTGTGTATGGTTTATACAACATGTCTTGGATACCTTTATCCTTAGATTTGTGGTCGATGGAGTTTTCAACTTTCCTGCTGCTATTATTACTTGGCAGAATACAAAGTAAGGAAATTGGTATTTATTGTTTTTCGTCAATGATCCGGTCAGTCATATTCATCATCATTACAACAATTATTGTTTAATTTAATTACAAGTAGAATGAGCATAAATGCAATTTAGGCAAAGTTAATCTCAAGGCTTGCAGCTTAGCATACTTTGCTGCTGTGGGGCACCCCTTTGGCTTGCAGGGCCACGTGGTATCTTCATGTGTTTGTTGCGGGCACCAATAAAGTCCTGGACCCTCATTGGGATGTCATCTTAATTTTAACTGTGATCGTTTTCTTGCGTTCTCACTAGAATTCATGTGCAGAAGCTTTGGATGCACTTTTGATGTTTAGCAAGATGAGCTCAGCAGATGTCAAGACGTTAAAGAGAGGACTTTCAACAATACATAACACAACGAGCAGAGATATTACATCARTGTGTCAGGGAAATGCACAGGGTACACACTTTTTCATCCCTTCATCTAATCATTCATTTTGTCAGTCATTTATAAATATCCATTTATCCACTAATTCAWCCATTTCATCATTTCATTCCACCTCTCAATTTCATTCATCTATTTGAAATATCAAAATTTMGGTTTATTTTGAGGGTTTTTCCTCAGGAGATGTCAATCTTCTGTCTGTACGTAGAGCTCATTTGAAACGTGATTGGTATCTCAGAAGAACACAAACTGAACTTAAAGTTGAAATGCAGAAATTCATAAGTGTCTGTAGTGAAATTTTGTTATGTACATCACAGGTCGCTTTCTGCAGCTRATCCCTTGCACAGAGATGGAAGCTCTGTCATTCTGTGTCCGCCTCCTTATCACATGTCTCAAAGTAAGGATTTTATGTTTTAGAGAAGTATGATTAATGCACTCTGGGATTTTAGTCATTKTTAGAACAYTAAATGGATGAAATAATGACTAAATGGATGGATAGATGTGTGATTGAATGAATGAATYTAGAGTGATGTCATTTTTTAGTCTACAGCTTTTGTCCCTGATCTCAACTTTCTTTTCAAATTTGATCACTGATCCTCAAAATTCAGTGATCCCATTTATTGTTTACAGTTGATCCCTGATCCCAATCTCAGCAGCTTTGATCAAAATCCRGATCCCAAAATATTGCTGATCCGTGATAAATGGTAAAAACTTTTTCCTGGTTTCAGCAAAAAATATCACATGAAAGCCGCTCAGGAGATCTTGTAGGTCACATGATTGTATTACTTCAGTGTGATTGGCCAAAAGAAGAGCGAACATTTTACGAGCTGCTTGACAGGATTCGGTCACATGGTGGTCTTACGTACCGCAGATTCTTTGATTACATCGTCAGTATCCTTACAGAATCAAAATAATGTTGTATGTTAGTCATCTAGATATCATAGCGGTATATTCCTTTATTGATATCCCAGATATCGATATTTTAGAGGAATTTTCGTATCTGAACAGCGAGGGAGTGTTGAAACTAGAATTGCTTCCAAAGTCTACCTCTTCTTCTCGGTATAGTAAAACATGTCATGTTGTTTATGCGTTACACTTCACTGTATCGCCTAAGTTYGGTTGCTTGTTGTATTCATTACAGGTCACGTACTGTCACGCGAGGAGTGAATAAAGGAGCCAAAGAAGATTTTCGATCCGCTATGGAAAAGCAAGTATCACGCTGTGAAGAAAACGTTGACACCATACTAAGAACGTTTTTGGAAGAGGAAAGAGACTCAATTACGAATATATTGTAATAAAATTGTAAAATAACGTTATTGAAGAATTAAAGTATACATGTTTTTATTATTATGAGAGTATCATTATACTCTGCGAACAGAGGTTCTTTTCTCACCCGCCGAGAAGCGAGAGAAAAGTTCTAGTTTACATTGACAATTTTTATCATAGAAATAACTTCTGTTGTATAAACAGGACATATATCTATCTACTTCTCCTAGGTATACGTGACATTTTATAAATATAAAGCAAAAAAATGTTGTTCTCGGCGGGTGAGAAAAGAACCTCTGTTCGCAGAGTAGTATCATTATCATTCTATAATGATAGTTGATAGAAACGCGCACGAGGGTTTTGCATGGGGCAAAAATGTTCGGCGTCCGTTTGGTTCCTCATTCCTATTATTCCTTGTGATCGGCCTTCCTTGCAACCCTTGATATTTCTTCTTAATAAAGCAAGATATTTTAAGCCGAAGTATCTATTTGTAAAAATCTATAAACGCTAGACAACTATAATCAAAATATCTTCTAATTTTGTTAGACTAGGCACCTGCTCAAATAATCGCAAATTGTCGTCATAATTTTTCGCAAAAGCGCTTTCCACTTTGAAGTCCGTTTTTTGACTGTTGCGCAGCTGTCTGACTGATCATAGGTGTCAATAGAAAACAATTACAACTTATATTGAGTTCTTTGGATAGTAACAAAGACTTCACATAAACTCAATAGCAATTTTGAAGTAGATATATAACTTGATTATCTACAGTTTGTCAATTTGAAGAACAATTGAAAAGCGCGCACGTCCACCTTGCGTGGATACTGTCGAACAGACTATATCGCTGGCACACCGCAGTGTTCAAAAAGAAAACACTCYCTGTAGTTTCTTGTGGAGTTATCTTAAATTTTTAATATTTTACAAGCTTCGTGTATCAAACAAAAATTGAAGAACGTTGTTTACGGGATGAAAACTTCTAAAAACTTTCGACTCTAATACATTCAAAATGGCGGCTCCGTGAGCAGTGGGGACTCAGAACTCTTTTAAAACTTTTGTTGTTTCTTTCTTTACATGCTTTAACAGGGTGATTTCTTTAAAAAGGTATAAGAATGACCACTTATATCAAATTTTGCTAGACTTTGTCTGTATTTCGCGACCGGCTGTATCACCTTATATCGGCGGCACTTTCACCAATAATTTTCCGTACCCGCGAAAAATATTGATGATAAATCCATTCGACGGTTTGTAGCTTGTCAGTTTTAAGTTTAGTAGGGCGTATTAGAGATAAACTTCCGGTAAACAGATGCTGTTGTAGGGATGCAAACATCCAGCGCTTTTTCATGTGTTTAATCTAGGTCCCTTTTCAATTTCCCTCAGCCGAATGACTCTGAACGAACTGCAAGGCTATCAGCGTCGATCGTGAGGTACTGGGCCGAACTTTCATGTGAGCCGGAATGGAGATTCCCTGGAAAGCCTCAACAAGGAATCACTACAACTACCAAAACTAGACTTATCAAATTGGTGTGTAGAAATGGARACGACCAAGTAAGCATTATTGAAAACAAGTCAATTACTGCMGATTTTGCTTGCAAGGTTCAAAGTGTCAAAAAGTGCGCTTCTGCGCCATAATCACAAGGTGGAGATGTCGTTGACACACTCGGACGGAGTGTTTGATGCCAAAGCATTAATTTAAGACTGATCTGATYRAATTGAGATTCTGGCTCGGTTTTTATGCGATATYTTTGCGAAAAGGACAGGACGYATGGAATGGGGTACCCATTCGTTGTGGCTTGGAATGGAGAATGTCGCCATGAGAGGACAAAGACATCCTCTGGTACTATAGATAAATGACATACACAAGATATCCTTCTAAAAAGTACKTTACAAAGCCTTTTAATTCTTGGGGAGCAATTACGGCTGTCTYAATTTTAAGATGMGGMCTTTAATTCGATTCCSTTCAATGTAAACGCTTCCCTGCGTCTTTTGGGGCTTTYAGGGAAAACCCCGCATATTTTTTGCTGTATGTAGAATTTCAGGATTYAGTCGAACCCCCCAGAGATATTTTGGGTTCAAAAAGATTAAAATATATACTTATGTATGCCATGCAGTGATTCACGAACGTTGTTGAATTGRCATGTACGCAAAATGGCGTCAATCTTCGRCCAKCCTCTGATTGCATGAAGTGGGCACATCCATTGGGTTCTCATTCACTTTGTCGGCGAGTCAGAAAATTCAAAATGTGATATCATTACTTTACTATAAACTTMAGCAGGTACCAGGGATTTTTTTTGGAAAATACCCCGACTTGTAGAGCATAATATTAATAAAGCTCACTTAGGCAAACTTCGATTTGAAATTAAAATCGTTTACATCTCAGCTTAGTCAAAAAGGAAACCATTCAAAAGAGGCTTTTATAACTTTTAAAATAGATATTTCGTAGTACTGAAGGGGAAAAAATTTTCGTTCCGTTTGGAGCTTTCTCCCACAAGACGTTGGGTGATCTGGTCGTGTCCAATATGTAAGTTTCTCSGTCTTACATTCTAAAATGGCATTCTGTGATTGGCTAAAGGAGAAAATTTGTTTAGCGTTAATTGATAATAGAAATAATACAGAATATTGCTAAACTTTAGTTTTTTCAATATTATTCGTTAATTYTTTGCATTCATTTTTCACAAAATATCCATTTTTAAAGGAAAGATAGTTTTGAATATTTTTTATCAAAAGAGAAATGTAACCAATGAGAATGCACGTTCTATTGATGTTATGKKTRGGCTAGAACCCATGCGCTCACGGTAGGTGACATACATCCAGAAAAAGATACAAGATGGCGCATCGAGTTCCAGGAGTAAGGAAGGTCGGAAGACCACCAAAAAAGCACAGAGTCGCCAACCCAAAGAACTCTCAGTTTGGTTTCCACAAAAAGAAACAGTCTAACTCGAAGCAGATCAAGCCGCAAGTAATCTCGATTCGCCGATTCAGAGAGATCTTCGGCTATTCAGACGACGAGGTGATTCACAGTTTTACGCGCCGTTTTTACGCCATTTTCTTCATCGGCATGCTTGCAATTAATACCTAAATACTGCGTTCTTATTCATTTTTACAGGACGAGGAGTTTTATGGGTTTCGTTCTGAGGATTTAGGGCTGGTTGCATACAAGAAAATATCTTCTCCAACTCGTTTAAATCCAGGAACTTTTGGCACCAAAAGAAAACATGGCGTCCTGTCGATACATWCAAGTACGTCACGACAATCGCCTGAAAAACAGCTATCTAATGCCRCTTCTCTTAATGATAGTGCACACAAAGAAAAAACAAAGACTGCTGCTTCTAATGGTGAAAATATCTATGCCAAACAGTATCGTAAAAGGGATAGTTATGAGAGGAAACATTCCCCCATTAAACAGCCAGTGCAACGAACAGAAGCATCACCTAAGCTGAAATCTACATCTCAAGTAAAGTTTAATTTTGCTCCTCGGGGAGTAACACAAACTGCTGATATYAACCGAACTGAAGATGTAATTGATCCCAACAATAAACCTGTCGTGGTACCTCAATCTAAACGAAAACCACAGACAGTTGCTCAGATGTTGTTAGCTAAAGCAAAAGGTGGACTATCACTAAAAATACGAAAACAACAGCAAGTTATTACTATAAAACCTCCTTCTCAATCCGTAGAAACAAGAGAAATYCTTAGRGAAAAACCTAAAATTGACACTGATGATAAGTCTCAAGTAAGATCGAGGTCAGGGCGAGTGGTAAAAGCAAAGAAGAGAGATTATGATGACTTGATTACATCTCCACGAATCGAACCAAAGAAAGGACCCGAACAGAAAAATAACAATGCAGTAAAAAGAAGTTTGGAGGATGGTGAAATGCCAGTTCCGAAAGTCCAACGTGTTGACGAATCAATAAAAAAGAACGCTGATGGTGAGCAATTAATTTTTRTGTTGCAATTTTTCAAATGACCTGTGCATCCCTTTTTAATATCACTGAAAGACTTCACAAAACATTCCATTCCATTCTAGAACTAGTTTTACATTCATTGATCAATTCATGTTTTTCATCACTTAAAAACTTGTTTGAAAGTGTTTTTCTAGGCCGTTTTTCTAAATGGTGCTACACTGTCCAACATAAGAGTGTTTTTGTTGTGTTCAATTTTGAGGGGGGGAGGGGAGGCTTGTGAATGTATTTTAAAGGAATGGGGAGACTGAAAAAAAAAATCAAAACTGCAAGTTGCAGTCAAATAATATGAAAAAAACATAACTTAATATTTAACATTTGTCTTATTTTTTTTTACACCTAGAAAATAAAGGCATTAAATCTCAGGTAAGCATTTGAGCACGCACATGAACTTTACCCTCTAGAGTTTCATTATAAATCAAGTTGTAGAAATTTTGAAATTTGCTTAATTATGAAATTTCATGTTTATATTGAGTGTATAATCTTTTATATATATTGAGTGTATAATCTTTTATATTGGTTATTATGTACAAGATAATGCTGTGTTAGGCCCTGTGGTTAATGACTGTTTCTCTTCATGCAGGATGCTCATTTTATCAAGACAAAACCAATAGTCCTTTTGAAACCTCTGAAAAAAGCAACAAGAACATTAAAAATATCACATGCAAAATCTCTGAAAGGCTCCCTTTCATCTAAYCCTGGAGTCCAAAAYGAGCAAATATCAAAAGAAGGTACTAAAAAGAAGGTTMCTAAAAGAAAGACACCCAAAGGTGAAAATAAAGAGAGTGACAAAAATGATTCGGATAACCAACCAAAGACAGCTTTCWAGTCAAAAAGACTTCAGCAGCAAAAAGAAGAGAATGAGAAACAAAAAGCATTGAAAGCAGAGAGTYAAACTGTTGAAGAAGACAATGAAAAGATGGCAGACAAGACTGGTACTAAGGAAGAAACTGAAATTGAAAGCTCCTCAAGTAATGAGAGTGAGAGTTCTTCAGCTAGTGAAGAAAGCGAAGAAGAYAGTATCAGTGGAGATGAGTGGAAACCATTACAGAGGCAAAGTGACTCCAGTGATGTGAAATCAAGACGTTTAACAAGGAAGAAAGATTCTAAAGAGCCTATTGATAAAACTGAAACTGAATCTACAGATGATGAGGAAAGTAACAAACCTCTTGCTTTGGTCAAGAAAGAACTGAAAGAAAGCCCTGAGAAAGTTGTGACAAAGGTGATTAGAGTCGTGAGAAAAGTAAAGATGAAAAATGGTGAAATCAAGAAAAAACTGGTTAAAGTTATTAAAAAGATTAAGAAAGTTAACAATGGAGAAGGCTGTCCCAAAGTCCCTGGAATGAGAAGAACAAGATGCAGGAAGTGTCCTGGCTGTTTGGTTGATGATGACTGTGGAGAATGTGTCTTRTGCATGTAAGTCAAAGCAAACATTGGCTTGCTGATTTGTACATGTATAAGAGCAAAAAGTATCGATACAGAGCAATTTTGCTCAGAATTTGTTTCATTAATCTAGCCATTCATTCTCTGAATGGGTGGTTGATTGACTGACCTGTTTGTTCTCTGATTGGGTGATTTGTTGATTGACTGACATGTTTAATCTCTTATTGGTGATTGGTTGATTTATTTGTTTTTTTTTTAATACATTCACTCAATTCATATATTCACATGAAATTTGATTACTTGGCATTAGTTAATAAATTGATTCATCTAGGTATTCACTGGTCCATTCTGTCCATCCATCAGATTGGTCATGTGTTTATTATTGTGGGTCTCTATCAATAATTATGTTTTATCATTATTTTACCATATGTTAGAAAATCTTTTCCTTTTTTTTTAGAGATAAACCAAAGTTTGGTGGAACAGGAACCATGAAACAAGCATGCAAGTCAGTATTCATGTTGAGTTTATAGAATATCTACATAATTTTGCTTATGATGAAGAACGTCATCTTCTTAATGCCTAACATTATAGCTCCACATCCCTACCAAAAAAACATGCTGAAAAAATAGCAAAATGAATCCCAGTTACATGTAATTATTTTTCTTTCGAGCTGGTTGTTAAATGCATAGATTCTCTAATGTGGTGTTTTAAACAATTCGTAATAACAATAGTCATTATTGAGGTCTGTTGAAAACTAATTATTATATTAACAGGTTAATTTAATGGTTTGTCTTGTGATAGGATGCGTAGATGCGTCAACCCTCAGCTTCCCAAAGCATTTTCAAAACGAAACAAGAAAGGTAATGCTGTCTGTTAATGATAATGATTGACAATAGTAATAAATGGATGATTTGAAATATTTATTGTAAGTTATAAAATTGATTGTGATAATGATGTAAGGTGAAAGGTAGGATATTGGTATATTGATATCCCATATATTAGTTTGTTTTGACGTTATTAGTTAGGAGACAATTGATATGTGTTTACAGAGAAGGGAATTGGTAGAGCTTAGGATACTTTTTAGACCATTACCTAAATGCACAGCTGCATACAGGTTTTAGAATTTCAATATTGATAAGTGATGTTAACCATTTCAATGTGTTCATGGTATTTCTTGCAGATATCAAAAATACACCAAAACCAAAGAATGAAAAACCTGTCAAAAAGCAAAAGAAGTCAACTGAAAAGTCTCCACAAAAGAAGCCCACTAAAAATGCTCAAGAAAAATCAAAAAAATTGGTTTCAAAGAAGAAGAAGCAACTCCAGATAAAAGCCAAACATACAAAGAAACAAAAACCTTCTGTCAAGGAAACTGAGTCTTCTGAGAGTGCACCACCTCTTGAGAATCCTATTTTTCCATTAAGACAAAAACAGCAACAAGTTCCCGATTCGAGTCCATTGGTAAAGTTGCCATGGAGTGTAAGTTTTGTAGAATTGATATTTTTTTGTTGATTAGCAGACTTCATTGCTTGTTGAGCTATTAAACGGTTACAGTTTTGCCAATTATTTCTTATTTTTGTCGAATCATGTAGCTTTTTTTATTTGTTTATCAAGTGAAAAAAAGTGACTTAAATTAAGTATTACTCTAAATACCCAAATATTTGTGACATGTCTTTTATTCTCTGATATTAAATTACTTAAAACTATTCTGCTTTTCACAGGACAATGCCTCTGAAGAAACAATATGGAAGGAAGGTTTTGGGGTTTGCTTTACTACTGGCATTCCTAATGCTCTACAAGAAAGCTGCTATCTCTGTGGAAGTACTGGAAGAGAGAAGGTTTGAGAATTATTTACATGTTTGTAAAACTATAATTGTTGTTTTAACAGATTTAATGTGATGACTTGACTTAGAAAATTATATACATTAGGAACTAAGACAGCATTCTGTTCTACTCACATTATTTTCCTTGTATGTATACTTATGTATTTTTACTTAATTTGTTTAATCATTTTCAGATGTTTTACTGTAAAGTTTGTGCTGAACCATTTCATGGTTTCTGTCTGGATGAGGAACCCATTGACAGTAGTACATGGTGCTGTGACAACTGCAGTACTTGTGTTGTTTGTGGTCTTCAAGATAAAGTATGTATTGTATAAGTCCATATCCTTGTCATCCTTAGAAAAAAAGAGGCCAGTTTACCACAAAATGAAATAATGTTCAACTGAACACTAACTTTTAAGTCAAAAAGGTGTCTTCAATCATACTATTTTTGCTGGACATAAGTGTTTGACAACTCATCATGATGATAACCCAGTATTTCCAGCTCAGTATTTCATAAAATAACCTCATGTTCTTTAGGTTATTAGAAATATAGTCTAATACCCCAAATTCCCTAAAATTAAGCTTTCGTCAAGAGTATAACTTACAGCACTAACTCACTTGACAGCTTCTGATGTGTGATGTATGTCAACGAGGCTATCATGTCGAATGCCTTGGACCAAATTATCCCACAGAGCCAGAAGGTGATGATGACACATGGGTAAGTCTACAAATAAATAATTGATTACTGTCTGAGTGGCGTTTGGTCATGTGACTTTTAAGTTAAAAAAGCAAGAAAGTTTGCCATTACAGAATCTTTTGATAGTACATGATGCAGTTAAATGAACTTTGATGCTACATTTTAACTTGTTTATTTTATCCCATAGATTTGTGGGAGATGTGTTAGATGTAAAAGGTGTGGAAGCAGAAGTGCAGGCGATGTGAGTATATTTTCACAATAAAAGGAAAACAACAAACTTAAGCATACATTTTACCATGTCATTTACTTACCACATATCATCAACTTGTAATGCAATAACCTAAGTATCTTTTACCTCTTATATATCTTCTGATCAGTTTATGATTAGAAAATGTCTACATTACTAGAATCAAATTGAAGAGATAACCTTTACTTTTCAGGGCCCAGATGCAACATGGATGCTAGACTTCACACATTGCTACAGTTGTGGAACTAACTGGGAACAAGGAAACTACTGTCCAATATGTGAGAAGTGTTACTCGGACAATGACTTTGACTCCAAGATGATGCAGTGTGCAAAATGTGAACATTGGGTTCATGCTAATTGTCAAGACATCAATGCTGACCAGTACGAGTGTCTCTCAGATTTACCTGAAACTATTCCTTTTGTTTGTAAACTTTGCTGTAATGAAGACAATCCAAAATGGCTGCAAGAACTTAATGATGAAATGTTGGCAGGTTTTATAAGGGTAAGTATAATCCAATCAAACTTAGTTTGAAAAAAATCGAATATTGATACTTGTATAGATCCCTTGCATGTGACGTCAAAGCAGCATCATCTGGAGGATGAAACAAATGAGTTTTGCTCTCTTGGGAACTAGAATCCATTGTTTTGTCCTCCAGTTGTTGTTGTATTCCCACAAACTGCAAGTGGTCTATTCAAAACATGTACATCTAAACTCATTAACTGGTACCATGTAACAGTAACTTTTGTACCTATCAGAAATCCTATTCCTTAAAGCCATCTCACTGGTCTATGTCATTAAACCTTGCATTAAATGGCAGCTTTGTCTTTCAGGTTTTGGATGAAATTGTGAAAAGTAAATCATATCAACCACTTGTGAAGTTCTTTGAACAAGTAAGTGCAACATTAGTTTTATTCAAGTGATTTAGAGTGAGGAACGAAACATCATTTCACTATACCTCAAACTGCCGGATCGACATGGATTCAAGTGATTTAGTTGAGCTAAAACTCTTTTTGTCTTGATGTAGATTCATGTAGACAATGGGCACCCCAAGGATATGGAAGCCATTAGAGAAAAGGCAAACCAAAATAAGTACAAATTTGTGGTAAGTTAATAACAATTTTAAGCAATTTAAAGGTGATGTTTTTGCGGAAATTTTTCATTGAAGAAAACCATCTAGTCCAATGATTCACTTGAAGTTTCAACTCCTTTATTTGTAGAAAGAGTTTTCCATCGATGTTCAAGCAATATTCAATAAGATTCTTAAAAATGAAGAATTAAAAGCTGACCTTCAACTTATCAAGCATCACTATACTGTTTTCAGTGTGTTTCAAACTGTAAGTACATCATTCTGTTTTTGACAGTCTTCTATTGTTTCTGAAAATAGCTCTTTACCCCTTTGGCGCCAAGTCATCTCGAGTCGACTTCTGTACTATTGCCATTGTCGACTGTAGTTGACCAACACATTCACACATTTTTGAGAAATAATATTTTAAAAACTCCAGCATGTTTTCATTTCAAATATTTGAAATAAATATGGCGGTCACATAGCAGTACTGAAATGGATCATGGCGCCAAAAGGGTTAATTCAGATATTTTTCAAGAATCTTTCTTGGGTCTGAACAACAAAATGGTAAGGCGTGCATTTACTACCATTTACTCATTATTTCCAGGAAATGAGGAGCATGTTTCCATGGCATGTAATTGAACCAATCAATGACAAACCATTAGAGCAAGTCCAAGAAGTCAAACCTTGTCCAGTGAAGATCAAGTAAGTGTCTTGAGTTGTCTGTTGACAATACATTACAACTGTGGTACATTTGACTCTCAACCATTGTCATAATTCTCATAAATTCAAGAGAAACTATCATGAGAGCCACATGAATTAGTAATCTTGAAAAAATCAACAAAATTCAATATGACAGAGCAAGGGTGAAGACAAGAGAAATCTTCCACACACTATTACATTCTGACACAAATTTACCATGACTTAGGTGGAAAGTATGACAGCAAGATGACTGGAACATCATTATTCTAATTTACATTTCTGTTGTTGCTGTGTTTCAGTGGAGTTATTGGCAAACCAATAGAATTTACAGCATGGGACCACTCATACTGTCTACCGCCCTCTGAGGCTACTACCAAATCTCTACAATCCACTACAGACACCAAAACCCATGAGATGAAAGGTGAATCTCCACAAAACACTACAAATTTGAAAGCAATGCCATTTTCTAAGGATACAGACACTCTTTCACCCACTAAGACTTGCAACTCTGTACCACCCTCTAAGGACATGGACTCACTACCTCCCCCAGAGGATATAGATTGTAATTCTCAAAGCAAGGATAAAGATTCTGTCATTTCTCTAAAGAAAGCGAATTCAGGATTTATTGATGATGATAAAGAAAGAAATGAGAAATCTCCTGAGAAAATGGAAGTGGATGAACAGAAAATCCCACAGGAAGAGAACAATGGTGTAAAATCTGAAAGTGAAGCACTGGAAGGAACATCAGAGAAAATATCAACAAAAACAACTAAACTGACTGTCAATGAAGAAGCAGAAAGAGCTGGAAATGCCAGCCCTAAACCAGTCATCTCAAAAGTGAATCCAAAATCTAATTTTTCAAAGACTTCAAAATCTAAGAAAGGGAACCACAACAATAGTTTGAGCTTAGAAGGGAAAACAGTCAAGAGAGATCCCCAGTTTACAGATTCCAATGAGGAACTGGGCTTAAAGAGAGTTTTGGATACACGGAAGTGTCAGTTATGTTGTTGCTATGGTGATGACAAGCCGTCAATGGCTGGAAGGTTGTTGTACTGTGGGCTTGATGAGTGGGTCCATGTCAATTGTGGTTTGTGGTCAGCTGAGGTCTTTGAAGATGATGATAAATTGCAAAATGTACAAGCGGCCATCACTCGAGGAAAACAAATGGTAAGTGGAATTCTCACCAGACTGTCCATTAAAACCACAATACAAAAAATATTGTTTTTCTAAGTATCTAAAACAGCCGATACTTTGGTTTGGGGTCTAAGTATCCCCAAAAAGCGATATATGTGCTGTCTGGATAATTGGATTGTCAGTAAAGCTGACTAAATCATTGATTATGATTTGATTATTTGCTAAAGTTATGATCTGAAGATTTCTCCGATGTCATGAAAAAAGGTAAAAAGAAATGATAACTTCCATTTGTGTTATTCTTTCAGAGATGTGAATACTGCTTTGAGGCTGGTGCAACTGTTGGATGTTGTGAACCAAGATGTCCTATGAACTACCACTTCATGTGTGCTAGGTTTGTTTGTAACGTCTTATTTACAGAATATAATTTTTTCTCAACTTGAAAACTTAATTTATTCTAGTTACTCTTAAATCTCAATTTTCGGACGTACTCGAAATCTGACAGCTTTCAAAACCCTGTTTTTTTCCTTCCAAGCAAACACAGCATTCACACTTTCTCATAGCCGGACACCTCCACCAACGGATAATTTTTATCCTTCCAAAGGGTGTCCGCTTTCGAGAGTTTCAACTGTAGGTATATTAGCGAACATATCTGTTGTTTTTAACAGGAATTCAAAGAGTGCCTTTCAAGATGACAAGAAGGTCTACTGCCATCAACACTCATTCAGAGCAAATGAAGAGGTACAATATTACTCATTGCTTTTCTAGGTCCCCTAAGTAAATATAGCTGCTGTTGTTTAAACGTTTTTGTTGGTCTAATTTTTTTTAGTTCATTTGTATTTGTGTAATATCTAACGATCATTTTTCTTGGTATAAAGCTTATCATGGAAGGCGATCAGTTCCGTGTTGACAGGCGTGTCTTTGTGGACTTGAGTAAAGTCCGCACGATAAAGAAAGGTTTAAAGGGTGCTGAACCAGATAGCATTCAACTTATACAAGGTAAATCATTACCTGATTACTTCATTATCTTGTTTGTTTAAAGTGTAAGATTTTTGTAGTAAACAAAAACAGATTACTTCATCACAAGAATCCAAACAATATGTGGCGTATTACACGAAGACCAACCAACTTTATAAGAAGCTATCTATGTGATAAACCACATCGTAAACGAATCTTTTCTTTCATTAGGATCAATGAAAATCGAGTCTTTGGGAAAACTGACTGCATCTTCAGACCACAAAGACGGCATCTTTCCAATTGGATTTAAGTAAGTTACCAGTTAAAAAAGATGTAATAATATATGATTTACAAAATCAAAATGGTTTTATTACCAATCTGTTGTCGCTTTTCGAAATTGTTATATATATTTGTTACAGGGTGAGTCGTTTGTATTGGAGTACACTGGATCCAAGGCGTCGTTGTCGATATTATTGTACTATAGCCGAGAAACCAAGAGACACAGTTGTTAAGTCATGTGCTGAGGAAACGCAAGAAATGACAACAGCTGAAGACACAATACATCGAGTGATTGTACATGATGATTTGGAGAGGAATAAAACACTTGACTTGAGTTGTAAAGAATCGTCAAAAGAAATTCTAAATGCATCATATAAGGAACTAGAAACTTCAAGAACAAATGCAACAAAGGACCTAAAGGGACCATGTAGTCCCACTAAAGAGTGTAAGGGTCCTATTAGTCCTTCAAAAGGCTGTAAGGGGCCTGTTGGTTCAACCAAGGACTGCATGGGAGCATTTAATAACACTGGTTCCTCTACGGACTGTAAGGGACGTGTAAGTCCCACTAAAGACTACAAGGGGCCTAGTAGTCCCAAAAAGGACCAAAAGGGACCAGCTGGTCCCACAGCGATAGGAACAAGTTCGAATAATAGTTGTACTAAAGACAAAAATAATGAAATATCAAGAATATTATCTGGATATAAACAAATCTTGCCAATATCTTCTCGACCTCCACCTTTATTACCAGCGTACAGAGCAAACAACTTCCCACGAAAGATCCTTCCGAATATACAAAATCCACTACTACTGTCGGGAATTCGCAACTCAGTGCAGCTTCCTCCAATGCTCTCTAGTCCGTTAATATCACAAGTTATGTCACCTCAACGTCGGAAAGCAGAACCTCTTTCTCCGGGAATTTCTGGACTACCTAAACCCAAGAAACTTCGCAAAATGTCTACAATCAATGAAGAAATTGAAAAACAACCAGAAGAGGTCAAAGAAGCAGTTTCAAGCAATAATATGGACAAGTTTACGTCTCCTAAGAAAGACAAATGTGTAGAGAAATCTAACAATATTTGTAGTAAACTAAATACAAACATTCCTTGTAAAAAGTCAGTGGAAAAAACTGTAAAGAAAACAGAAGAACCTACAGTCAACAAAGTTAAACAAGACAACTCATTGAAAGTTAAATTTATTATTACTAGTGATGATGGTCTGAAGATTGAGTCTGATTCTTATAAAGGTAAGAGAAGCTCTGAAAGTATGCCTTCATACTTTTGTCACAGGTGAAAAATAACGGGAATGAATTCTCAGTTTTCTAATGTTTCAATTCAAAAGTTGCAATGAACTAATAGTTGTTGTATTATTCTAGCTGCATGGAAAAAGATCTACGATATGGTTCGTGAAGCTCGAGCAGACAGACTTCTTGCTGATGTACCATTCATAGGTTGGTGCACGGCCATTGTTAGGAAACTTATAAGCATCAACAACTTTTGAGGCGCCAACGTCAATCGGAAATGAAATTTTACTCCCGATTAGCGCAGAAGGGGAGGGATCTCCTAGAGCTGCAACTCAGGCTAATTGCATTACATCCCATTCGTTTTCAATTGTTTAATTGTTCTTCAGTGTGTTAAAAAAACTTTATTTCTTTAGGTCTGTATAATGTTTCCATGATGGGACTTAAGCAGGTAAAGAACTGTTGAAAGATATATTGCTTTCTTCATTAATTTGATTAATGTACTCCGTTTTGTTGTAAAACAAGTTCATATTGAATTGTCTGTGTTATCTTTCACTTGCACGCTGGCGTACCCTTACAAACTATGGACAATTTACGATGGGCTTGGTTCTTCGTATTAACAAATAACATTAATGTTTTATTATTTTCCTCTGTTTTCTATTATTGGTAGGAATCTGTTGTGTATATGCTTGAACAACTGCCAGGAGCTCACCAACTGAAAGTATACAAGTTTAAATACCACAAACCGTGCGACAAAAGCGTTAATGGCGAACAAGTGGAGGTGAGTTGTCTCTTCTTTGTAATCACAAAGTGTTGCGAAAGTGTAATTTGCATTAACCAAGCATAAAACGTTTATATTCAGTAATACTTTTGTACACTTGTTTGCGATATTCTAGTGCTGTTAATTTCCCACCTAACAAAACGTTTTTCAGGTTGTCTTAGCCTGTATTTGTTTTGTAATTCGTTGAGTTATGTTGTTATCTCAAGATATCTTGTTTCTGCGAATTCCAGGAGTTGAAAGAAAACCCTTCAGGATGTTGCAGAACTGAGCCATATAAGCGGTAAGAAGAATATGGTTCAATAGATGATTTCATAACAAGTTTGCTATTTTGATAGATTGCCAATGTGAAAGTATTTCTATTCTTGTTATGTTTTAGAACAAAGAAGTATGACATGTTTGCGTTCTTGTGTTCTGTCTACCGTACTGCCCCTAAGTTGACTGACAACTCTGACGAGCAAGACTGGTCTGAGCCTAATTATGAAGATATCAAGTAAGATTTAAAAGAAAAATTCGGATTATTTTACTACCATGAAACTTTTCATCATTATCGCGATTTTCCATTAACCATCATAATGATCGTGTCATCATTATCATAAAAACAATCATTGTCGTTACCATAGCAACAATTAATAATTGATTAAGCATTTGCTATCGCAACTAATGAGTATAAAGGCCCGTTTACACGCGATTTTTGCATGCGATTCTCACGTCCCGCGACTATCGCCTGAGTTTCGAACCCATGCGAAATTGGCTGCAACTTCGCGGCGAATTTTCATCGTCGCAACAATCGCAGTGCTGTTTACACGTACGATTTGTGTTGCGCGAATAGCAAAGTGGCGATTATCGGGGTGCAAAAATCGCAATTGAACAATGACCAATCCAACAGGCGTGCTACTGCCCTTGACTTGCCAATGGCCATGCGATATCGTCAGTTGAAAGAGAACAATTACAACAGGAATGCTGTTGCAGTGTATAGGTACGTTGAATATCTATTTATTTATCGACGGTACCTTTGTCTTGGTTTGTTTGTCTTTCCATCCATGTGTCCGTCCGTCTGTCTATCTTCCCACCAGCTGCCTAAGTCCCTTCATACTTAATAATATTATTTGATTTTTTTCGTTGTTACCCTGATCAGGTCTGGTATCCACGGCCGTGGTCTGTATTGTGCACGTAACATAGCTGCTGGTGAGCTAGTGATAGAATACTCAGGCGAACTGATCCGTACAACACTAACCGACAAACGAGAAAAGTACTACGATAGCAAGGTATGTTTTGCAATGAAACTCCTAGTTAATTTTTATATAAATTCGGGATCCTTTGTAATGTTTTGTAAAGGGGAGACTTGGACGAAAGAAGGAGTCTCTTGATGGTTTGTTGTGTATGGTATTTAAAAGTGTAATATGTTTTGATTTATCAGGGCATTGGCTGCTATATGTTTCGCATTGACGGTATCAATGTAGTTGACGCTACTACGTCAGGAAATGCTGCAAGGTTTATTAACCATTCATGTGAGGTAAGAAAATCGACACCATTGTGATCATCATCATCATCATCATCATCCCCAGGGTGGCTTGTCATTAATCTGTCGCATTATATTAGAACGGTTTTGCTCATCATGATTATTTTAACTCAAGAATTAACCAGCAAGGATTTAGCATATGCATGGGATGCGATGTGAAAGTTCAATTCACCTAAAAACGTTTTAATAACTAGGAAATTTACTAGCAAAAATGGCAGTGAAATCATTTCGATGTTATCCTATCCGTACTATACCTATGTTCATTTTATAAATGATTGAATTGCTTCAACAGTGCAATTGTTACTCGAAGATTGTTGCTGTTGACGGAAAGAAGAAGATCTTGATATTTGCTTCTCGAAGGTACAGTTTTGAATAGAATCTTTTTAATGTAGTGATTTATTGTTCGGGGATATAACTAGCGCGTGTTGAAAAATAGAGACAATTTGCATATTTATCACATCTATATCATAGTTAATTGGCTTTACCACCACGATTGGTTGATTGGTGGCGATGTTACAACATAACATTTCTTCTACATTTTCTAATTCATTTTTTCTCATCTATTTCCCAGTATTTCTCGTGGCGAGGAGCTTACATATGACTACAAGTTCCCTGTTGAAGACGTCAAGCTGCCATGCCTCTGTAACTCTAAGAAATGCAGAAAGTATTTAAATTGAGGAGAAGATTACCTACAGCAGATTAATTTACATTAATTTTTGTGTGCCTCGCACACTGAGGAAGCTCAATTTGTATCCTTGTGAAATCGAAGCTCTCATTGCTATCACTCATGTAGCGACCAGCTCACTTGATGTTTCGCTAATTAATTCTTATATGATGGACAGTGTTTTTGAAAAGAGGCGCTACGAGGGACATGAATTTGATTTCCACCGTACGAACTTATGCTGTAAATTTCCTACAAATTGACCTTCTCTGCCGACTTTTTGAATTGTATTCAGAACGAAAGTGGAATTCTTTGTTTTGCCTCCTTATTTATACATGCATCTTATTCTCACGCGTTGGTGGAAAGCATATATAGAATTCTATTCTGACGGTCTTTCGGAATGGGACGGTCATTGGTAGAGCTCAGTTAATGAGAGTTAGAATTGTTCCAAATTCTGTAATTTGGATTTGCTCAACACAGGGTTTTTTGTAAGATTTTTCCAGAAGTTTTGCTAAATGTCATAATGTAAATAACACACGATAAAAATGCTAATGGTGATTGCGCCTCAACTTTGTGGTCGCTCGTGAGATCTTTGAAAACCTCAGGCTTTCCAGTGGTGGAACGAGAGATTAGTACGAGGGTGAATTTACCACACAAGAACACTCTACCCCCATTCTTTACTGTAATTCCCCTGTTTTTTCGTGGATAAGTGGAAGTTCTATTGATCTAACACCCAACCTGTTGTCCGCGTTGATAAGATTACGAGAGCTTTCGCTAATAACCGAAATACTTGTATATTTTTTAGAATGTGCCGAAGACAAAATATCGTGATAATATATATTCTCTGAAAAATTTGGAACGACCTTTATTTAATTTTTTTGTAAAAAAAAAACAACAACAATATGACAAGGGAGGGGAGGCCAACAATAATTTGCGAACAATTTGTCAGGACATCAACATCTGGTTTACAGATGAAATGTGTTTTGAATTAGCACATAGATATTTGTATCATTTGTATTTTAATTGTCTTTAATAACATGATATTTGGCTGGTTCAGTAAGTTATAACTCACCAGCTTTGAAGCGATGATATAGACCATTGCAATGATGTATAATATATTATTCTCGAGAGGAAATATCGCTGTAAATATCCCGAGTGACTTCTAATAAATGAACTTTTTATCTACTCGTGTTGCATACTCCTTCAATTATTTGGATTGTCTGTTTTAGGGAGATAGAGTCATTTTCATTCCGTCTGTGAAACAATTACTACTAGTCAGTGTTTAATGTAAACTTTGTCGCATGTCATAAGTTAAACTATTGGGAGCTCAGGGGGTAATAAATAGTACAATTACAATTTCACAGACGGATGAAAATGACTCTAGTTTCTGCCAATGTGTAATCTTATACCTGAAGGGAAGTGATTTCATTTGAAATTCCGTTTAAGCAGCGATTGTTTTGCCATGATTCACTGTTGTTTTTCTCGCTAGCTGACCTTTGAAACTGATTCGGCCGACTGAAAGTGCTTCAGCAGAAGCCCCCATGCAATGCAAGTGCATTATACAAAACTATGATAAATTGAATGTAAGCCAAGAGGTTACGATAAAAGTAGCCAGTTTTTCAAGAAGAGACACTTTAGATTGCAAATCGTGGCATCTGCAAAGAAATGGTTTCACTTAAGATCTCGGTTTTTCTACTCATATTTGTTGTTGGCTTGACGGCGAGGGCGGAAGGTAAGCGATATCAAAGCAAAAATATGTCGGGAATGATGGACGATATAATACCATATAGAATTATTTTAGAATATTGAAAATTCTTTGATACAATCAAAGGGATTTTAGCATTGCGCACAATGCGATTTGCGTTTGATACGGAATATATGAAATTACTTCAAGGGAAAGTTTAGTGATCACTTCGGCAGACAACACTGCATTTGCTATATTGGCATCCCTTAGGTAGGCACAACAGTCTCAGGGAAATCCGGGCAAGGTTATCCGCACTTTAGGAACTGACAAATATATAAAGAATCAGTTATAACCGAAAGTGATAAGTACCGTATATAATTGCCAGCTTGTCCTCTCATAATTCTCTTTCAACAAAGGGAATCAATGGTTTTATTTTGCAGATCTGAGAGCTGGTCTCATGCGCAGATGGCCAAGAGCAGTATGCGGTCGAACTAGGTACAATCCAAGTTTCAAAATCTGTTGTGCTGGGAGGCTGCAGTCTAAAGGATTCGACAACGCCTGCTGTGGTACCCAAAGCTACCATAAAGGAAGTAAAATCTGTTGCGCTGGGAGGCTGCAGGCTAAAGGATTCGACAACGCCTGTTGTGGTACCCAAAGCTACCATAAAGGAAGTAAAATCTGTTGCGCTGGGAGGCTGCAGGCTAAAGGATTCGACAACGCCTGCTGTGGTACCCAAAGCTACCATAAAGGAAGTAAAATCTGTTGCGCTGGGAGGCTGCAGTCTAAAGGATTCGACAACGCCTGCTGTGGTACCCAAAGCTAC